GAAATGTCACAGAGATGTCAAGGCATTAAAAATCCACAACTTTCAGTCTGTGCTCGGATTAAACAAACAAAATCATCACTTTTTGATCTTTTTGATCTGATCTAAATCTAATTCCAGTTGAAGAATGAATGCATTTAAGAGGCGAGTTTGTGCGAGAACGGCATCTGAAAAGAAGAAAAGAGGAGGAGGAACAACAACTTTATTTTCCAGCCGACATGACGTGTGCCTAAAGAGCAAAAGGGAAACGGCGAGCAGGGACCGGAGCGGCTCCACTCCGCGTACGGCCTAAATGTCAAGTCATATTGCGTCTTTTACGGCTCCGGAAAGGTCAGAGGCATAAATCACACGGCCTCCTGTTCCCCACGAAACCCAATCACACAGGGACAAAATCTAATAGGGCGCGGACAAAGCAGGCCGCTCGAACCACACCCAACTATGGCGAGTAATGGCACGAGACGCCGGCGTGGGCGGGAGTGAGGAGAGAAGGAGACAAGGATAAGAGGAGACGATGCGACGTACATCATAACCTTGATGCAGTCACGTGACTCTACCCGGACTCTTCCCCCCCGGAGCACACACATTAAGTGATTGCTTTTTTACTACAGTTGTCCCCAACCGATGAGGGGACGATTTATAGAAATGCGAGGTAAGCAGCCCATCACGTCCGGAACTTCAGCATCTATCGACGGCACTGATTAAGTCTGGTTCCAGTCACTATGTGAACAGCCCGCCATACTAATTAACCCCCTCCAACTCCCTCCCGCCTCTATGAAGTGCCGCCCCAATCCCTCACTGCCGATGCTATGGATGCTAAGCGGCATCAATACCCCGCCGGTCATCCACTGGAGCACATGAGCACATGGATCTGGTAAGACGCGGACTCGGTACACCACGAAATGACTCTGTAACTGAATTGAGCAAAAGCAAACTAGATTTGGGACTGTTCCTGGATGCCCGGAGTGCAGCGCAGGGAGCCGTCGGCACTGGGCTGCTGCACGCATCCGCTGAAAAAAACAAAAAAACAAAAAAAAAACACACTTCCTGTTTGACCCACGGCGGCCCGCCGCCCTCGTGCTAAAGCGCCGTGCAGAGACGGAGCTCATCCGGCGCCCGCTGAGGCAGAAAGGATGAATAATGAAGAGTGTGACCTAAAATTGGTACCAGAACGCCGAGTGATGCTGTCGGATGCAGAGAGAGGGAGGGAGGGAGGGAGGGAGAGGGGGAGAGGGGGAGAGCAATAACCCGGTAGTGACAGTCAGGGAGACCCATGTAGAATCACACTGAGAGATAGAATGATCCGGTACGAACAGCAGTGACACTTTTTGATGATGTCGTGACAAAAGTAACTCATCTTCCCTCGCTCTGCAGCTCTGCAGGCGTAGCCCGTTCGTCTCCGTGCTTGTCTCTGCGCCGGTGCCATTTTGGACAGCGCCGCGGAAAAGCTCTGACGCGATTTCCTGTGAGGACAACCTTCACTCACTGGACTCAAACGCGAGGAGAGGAAGGTTGAGGAGATGAAAGCACATTTGCACGGAGGTGTTTGAGCCGCTGCTTCCGAGAAGTCTATTGATCAGCCGCCACGCCCTCCTCTCCGGCTCTCTGACGGGAAACACAGCTACAAGGCCGTAATGAATAATTAACGTCTCACGGCCTCCCACTGCCCCCCAGGTCCAAAAAACACAGCTGCCCTCTACGTGAAGCAAAGGACGCATCCGAAGGCAAAATCCTCCTACATCCTCCCTTTCCTGAGGAGGCCTCTCAATAACCCAGCTTGTATTCGTTACGACAGCAAACGCAGTCACTGCTTTGAATTTGCTTCCTGTCTTTTCCAAGGTTTCCAAGGACGCCACTGATGACTGATCATGCCTCGTCGAGCGACGCGACCTCCGGCCTTTAAGCATCCGTCAGGGTGCAGCGGGGAGACTAGCTATGAGGTATATCAGGATAGGGCCCGAGGAAGGGGAGGATCCCGCGTGAGCGCGCCGCTTGTATCCAAATATAGACATGCCGATGGTCCTCATGGATTTTGGATCGGGGACAGGAATACCAATGCTTTGGCACCACGTCCCCCGTGCACCGAATGCAAAGCCCACAGATAACATCAGCCGGCCGACACGGTGGCCCAGTGTCACGCCCAATATGGTCCCCCTCTTGTGTTGGATTCATCCTGTGTGCTGCTGTAGACGTGGTTCTGAACAACAGAGCGGATCAGAGCTGAAGCGACAGATTCATTATTTTTGGGGATGGAATACCTCTTAAAGCAGAAATGCCAATAATTTGCTGGTTCCTGTGAACTAAATGTGAGGATCGGTTGCTTTTCTCACCTATATATCATTGCAAATTCAATATGAACGGTTTTCAATGGTGAATTGAACTAAACAAGGTATTTTGAGGGACAACTGAGGGACAAATAATAGAAAATGTTACACTGGTAACCGTCAAATGATCGCTTTGCTTTAGCTTTTTTTTGTGCTGAATCATTTTAACGTCCTGAATCTATTCTTCAAACACATTTCAGAAACACTTCCGTCTGCTTCTCGCCGAAATTGCAGCCGTGAGTGACAGATTGAGGTCCAGCTCGATGGAGTAGCAGCAGGGGGCGGGGCTTAGCCAAGCGTCAATTATTCAATCAGCTCTTCAGTACAAAAAAACAGTTTTGATCATCCACTAACGGCAGTTTCCTTTTTTCTCAGTTATTGAACGGCATCGGGTAACCATCAGACGAGGGAATGGACCAGTTAACACTCCTCACCCGACGAGGGCTCCAATAAATACCGCCATGTAATGATGTACGTGTGGTTGTGTTCGGGTGTTTGCACATGTGGGCACCCTGAATAACGGCACCCAAGGAAACACCTATTGGTCGAAAACTCCTACTGGACATCATGCATTGGAGGGCAGCTATTATATGTCTGTGTGTGTGTGTGTGGCTGTAATGTAATGAAGGCCATGGCTCCATTAGGACTCCCTTCCTGTAGAATCCCATCATCCCAGTCCCAGCAGACGGAGACGGAGGCAGGAGAGACACCGAGACGAGGGACGAGATGGTGATGAAAAGAGAGCCGCCCACAGAGCCGTGTATGAAAAAGGGGCAAATTGTCTGCTCCTCTAGATAGAAGAATATTTAAGACTTTTGTGTGTTTTTGTGAGTGTTTGGAGATCACATTATGTACTAGTCCAGCTCATTTCTGACAGCTTCTCTCCAAAGATTTTCATTTCAAACATCAGGCCGCGGGGGACATTAAACGTGGCCCGGAATTGACCCCTGCAAGCCGAGCTCTCTTATTAAGTGTCCGCTCCTCCACCACAGGAAAGTGGACCGGCAGAGACAGCGAGGGGGGGGGATAATGACGCAGCCTCTTTATTGTCGGGATGGAGGAGAGAGCGCAGCACCAGCCCGGAGTGGAGCGGGGCGGGTGTAAATAACCAGGGACACTACGTAGCTGTGTTGTTGCTGTACTGAGCACTAGCCAGACATTAAGTTGTAGCAGGTGCGTCAAAGCAGTCCATGTTTTTCTCCGTTACCGAGCTCCTGCCCACTCACAGGATCCCTTAAAGCATCGGCATCACATTGTTGACTACGTCTGACAAAAGCCAACGTTTGTCGTTAACGAAGCACATCCAGACACGTCGCTGTGAACGGTTTTCATCGGGAGGTATTTTCTCTCGCAGGTTCACCACCAGTAAAATAAAGAAGCATCTACAGGACAGGATGCAACTACACACTAAGAACAATAAAGATGAACTCCACCCAGTGGAGTACAAAAGCCACCATTACCCTAAAAGGGATGTGACATGTACAATGTGCAAGCAGTGATACTGGTGGATGCATACGATGCTCCATCATCAGCACTGCTGCAGGGGACACAACGTGCTTCCCTGCAGCACCCAGAGGCCTCAGATAGCAGCTGAACAAACTTCTTCTTCTTGCCTTTATGTAGGAACACAATTACCCCTCGTGTCTTCTATACGGTATAAATGTATACGTGGGGAAATATCAGGTGTGACTTCTCTTAACAGTTTAGCCTCTAAAATGCTGCAGCACATTTAACCGACGAGACTGAACTTTAGAGGGGAAATAAAGGAGAGGTCGTTTTTGTAATCTCATGATTGCTCTGCTCAAAAAAAAAAAAAAGCTTTCCATGTATGAAGACACCAAATAAAGGACATGAATAACAACTGTTTGAACTGGAAAAAAAAACAACAACTGCCGATCGCATCCAAGAGTGTGAGCTGAAAGGCCCCACCCTAAGTGTGCAACACTCAAGTGTGTGTCTAATATGTGCGTGCACTAGTGTGTGTGTATGTAGCCCAACAGTCCATTACTGAAATCACATTAGCCTGAGAGAGAGAGACAGGAAACGACCGTCCATCTCCTGACCAACACACACACACACACACACACACACATTAAACAATCACATGTATAGACGGACAACACGACACATTCACATTCTTTCTATATGTCACATATTTATGAAAACAGAATTACGCTTTGTGGAGGACGAAAAGAGGAGGACAGGAGGACATCCGCGTGGTAATATCAGAATTTCAGTCCACACCGGGATAGAAAAAGACAAGAAGCCCAACAGCGGCTTGACAGTACACAAGTCTGCCTGCTGACACAACTCACAATTAAATAAAGCACCTGCACTATGTCATGGTCCATGCAGACCGTGAGGCTCCAACGAGCACAGAGGCCTGTGAAGTAGTAAACACGGCTCCCTGCAGCCCGTCACGGAGGCAACTGTGGCCTACGTGCTCCACAACCTACAGCGGTCACAGTCGACTTTGTGGCTGATTTTAGAAAGCGAAGCGATTTCATGCAGCATCCGATGAGACGCGTTAGATCAGCCGGCTCCGAGGGGCTACAAACCCGGCAACGCCCCCCCCCCGCCCCATCCAACCCCCCATCCAACCCCCTGCTGCGCCCCGGAGGGCCGCGCGGCATCGGCCCGTCCGATGCGGGAGAGCGTGCCTGCGGGCGGGCGGACACCCACCTGCCGTATGCGGCCGTGGTGCAGCGGCGGTTGAGTTCCGCCCTCCGGGGACGTGTTGCTCGAAGAGGCCATTTTCAAGTCGCGGTCGGAGCTGCCGCCGCCGCTCCTGGAGAGGCTTCCTTCGGGGCTGCTGGACATCGTGTCGCGGGCTGCGCTGCTGCAGGAGGCGATGCGGTCAGTGGGGGGTCCTTGTGCCGGTGCAAGGTGGATCTCAGCGGGGGGGGGGCACTCAGAATGCACAAGGCTCGGCGGGGCCCGGCATCATTCCGCAGCCTCACACACGCAGTCCTGTTTGTGAAGCGTGACCGAGCACAGCGCTGTGGTTCCTCACGATTGTCAACCCGAAACGAGCGCTCCCTTCTGCGTTCAGGGGATGCTCGATGTGGCGTGTTGCTGTGCCCTGCGCGCGCGCATGTGCGTCTATATGTGTGTGGTGACGCGAGCGCGCTTCACGCGCGCTTCCCCGAAACTCCGCAGCATCGACGCCGCCTTCACGGACGCTCGGAAACTTGGCAACGAGGGAGACCGCTCTGAAAACAACGGAAGTATCTGTCACTCAAGCTAAAGTGCTCTAACGTTCTGTTTCTATTGGACCTCATACCGCTTTAAACAGACATTACAATACACCAGCGCATTTATTCATATTTTGCTACAACAAAGAATAGTCGCTCCACGCTACTTGGTCGCAATCATGATATCATATAATGAAGACCTATTACAAATCTTTTTGATTAGATCATTTCCTTCCAAGGGCCCGTGAATGCATCGTCAAGAAGCATTGCGCTCCTGCGTTTGGGGTTTATGCGCCCTCCTCCCCCCCTCAGGCTCCTCAGGAGCTACACGTTGAATGGGGGTTGACAGGGCACAATCAATAATGTCTTGGAGACATTTGAAAAACAAAGGCAGGACTCGAGGGAAGGAAAAGGTGTGAGAAATCACGGTAAACAAACCGCGTGTGACTCTTAGAGACTCACTTGTTTGACCTAAATGGCGGAATGAAAGAGGAAAGAAGAGTTGACTTGATGTGTAGCATATTGTCAAAGAGGTTATTGCTCATCAATCAATCAATCAATCCGTAAAGCATCTGCTAACTGGGTGTGGTCCTTTTTTTAGACAAATCTGTATTCATCATATGCAAATTACAAACAGAAGGAGCCTTCGCCTCCTCTTTTTTTCCAACACAATAACAAACCTGTTAAGGCTGCAGACGATGAAGGTAATTGCATAGAGATGGACTTATTATAATAGGCCAACATCCAAAATCCATCTAGAACAAACTTTTAATGTGACTTAATGAGGTGATATTTGGACATTTAGAATAACAAATAGCATTTACTCTGGAACATTGTCTCAGCAAATCATTAATCTCAACAGAGGGCTTTGCTTGTCATGTGGTGGATATCTTCGGGGGGGTCTCCTGTGTCAGAGTGAAGGTCCCAGGAAACAGGATGTCATTGATGTAGATTTTAAAATTGAATAGAACTGAATATGTTATATATCTTCCATATGCAGCACTGCCCCCTGCTTCCAGCGCATGGTATCACACTCAAAACAACACACTGAAGAAGGAAAAAGCTTTAAAAAAAAACGAGTGATAAATATATAAAAATACTTTATTAGACATCTACCTTTTACAAAGAATATCATTGAACTGGTTCCAATTAATGACAGCACCAAAACCACTGAGAAACATGACCAATAACACACAGACAAGGACAGGTGGGGGGGGGGGGTTGTGGGGGGGGAGCTTAAAAGAGCTGGAGCTGGAGCTTCTGGTACTTCTGAGTCTTTGCTTTTTGCTTCTTCCTGCTTTTAATGTGCGGAGAGTTGGTCCAGGTGGTCTTTGCCGCGACTGGACAGGTGAGCCTCCAGAATCTCCCCAAACAGATTGCGTTTCAGGAGGCTGTAGGCCATCGGCAGAAGCTGCCTGATGACCTTGTGGAAATACTGGAGACAGGAAACTAAAAATTAATAAAAACATTAAAACCGGTCCGTGAGGTAAAAAAAAGGCTGGCAACCGCTGGCTTAAAGGGAGGATTGTTAACTAGCAAACTATCCGACCTAGAACATTTACCAGTGTTGTCCGTGTGTTGAGAGATCGATGTAGTACATGTTATTATACGCTATTCAGCTCTAGCTTCAAAAGTTAGCTAGAATCCAGCAAGAAGCTCAATACCGACGGGCCCATCCCTTCGGCTCTAAAGCCACGCCCCCAAAATCACAAACAAACATGGTTTGAAGGGAAAGGACATTTTCTCACGTGGGATCCGTAACAGAAGAGGTCCATTCCGAGCTCATATCCCATGCCGTAGTCGCACTCGTCGTTGGCAAACTGAACGAACGTGACCATCTCCTGCAGAGGGCCGAAGGCTTTGACGCGCTCCTCGTCGTTGCGGGCGTCGGCGATCGCCTTGAGGATCTTCTTCAGGCCAGCTGAACACAGAGGAGGGATGAAAACCAACATCAAGGGATCGTTCTCACTGAACGGATCTGGATCAGAAGAAACGTTGAGCCTTTAAAAACCTCACGGTTCGTTACTAAATACAAGCAGTGCACACGGGCTCACCATCGGTTTCTGGTAGTTCTCTGTATCCCACATCGTTCTTGTCTACCGGTACGACGATGCCGGCACCGTGGAACGTCTTGGTGACCACCTGTTGGTGCACAGAGAGACTTCCTGCTAGTCTCAGACTCTTCCAAAGATGCTGGATGTTTCATTCTACGTAACCATGGGTCGCCCTGCAGTGGTTTGAATGTACGGTTCTAGGGTCAAAGCAACACCTCCGTTTTGGCTCCATAGTGCAAGTCACCTTCTTGTCCCTCTGCTTCATGGCTTTGGTCTTCTGCTCGAGGGACAAGCCCAGCGTCTCTGCTCTGTCCCTCAGCCGGGCCTCCAGGCCGTCCAAGGCCTGTCCTCCGGCTCTCTTGCTGCCCCTCTCTTTCCTCCTCCCCGACAGATACAGGCTGAGGGAGCAGCGCGCACGAAACAAAAAAAGAAGCAAATGCAGACGTGAGATTTACAGTAATAAAATCAAGATGCGCCTTTTACGTCCACTCATCTGAGCAAGCGGTGAACACGTGGCCACGACTCACAGGACTGCAGCGAACGCGTTGTCTCCCATCTGCGCGATGGCGCAGCCCTTCTTGGCTTCATTCTCCCCAACAAACGAAGGGAGGGAGTCCGGAGAGTCTCTGGGGAGCAACAGAATTCAGCAAATCCGAAACGAATGGCAATCGTTCAGATACAGTTGGCAGTCTCACGGGTTAAACGCGGGCAGGCCACGTCAGCGCCACGGCACCGGTGTGTGAAGCAAGCCGGCCCCGCCGCGTACCTGTAGTAGCCGATGTGATGCTGGGTGTCTCCGCTCCCCAGGAGGATGGTCTGGAACTCCGGCGGGTCGTATAAATACCGCCAGTGGAGGTGAAAGTTGGGCTGAGGATTGTCGGCGCCTCTGTGGGCTCCTGCCAGGACGTCGAAGGGACCAACCAGCTGCAAACCCAGCGCGTCTTTTAGGGCCCCTATGAAGATTGAGATGAACACAAAAGTGATACATTTACACAGAGATCAATGGACTAACAGGCATCAGTTAAAATGTTTGTGTGCGATTGCTTCAATTTGGGCTTTTACGGATGGTTTTGATACTGGATGAAAACATTTATGCAAAAACAAAACCAAAATAGAAGCTAAAAGACAGGTTCAAGGAACCGCATTCTTCCAGTAGCTTCCATTTGCAGGAATAACGTTTTTCTATGTTCCATCCTTCTTTAACGTATTTTGACTGTCATACAACGTCTGCAATCGTCACATTAAGCAAGGACCTTGCATTGGGGAATCTCTAAAAATGCTTTGACTCCTAATAGATTGAGGATTTTTGACTATTTGTCTAACTTTTACGATGCGTTCAAAAGCAATGTTGTCAAGCGACCACCATGGACGCTTTGGCAGTAACCAAAATAACAACTCCAGACCATGAGGGCTGCTACTGTGTATCTCAACCAGTCGGGCAGAAAAATGGACGCCCCCTTCCCCCCCGACCGGTATCCATGCAGCGAGACGCAGCGTGGCGGCGGATACCCCGTGGGTTGTCGGGACACAGCTCCTTGCAGAAGTCCCAGAAGTGGTACAGATCTTCTGGCATTTGAAGCTTGTAGAGTTGAAGCATCTCATCTCGTTGCTCTGAACGCGCTGGCGGGGGCACGGCTCGGGATTCCTCCGCACGGACTCTCTTCAACTCCCCGTTGCCTGTTCCCGAGTCCTGAGCAAATGGTGTAACGGTTACCATGTTGGGTTATACTTGCAGGTCCTTTAAACAGGTTGGGTGGATAGAGCCGTCAGACACACAAGTGGTACTTTTACTCACTTTTTACCAATGAAACTTCAAAAATAAAATAATATTATTGAAAATCAAATATAAAAAGTGGTAAAGGATAGCGGGAAAACAGTGTACGACATTTTAGAAACTACTATCGGGGAACTGAGCTGAGGGACCTGCGGATTTGAGGATGTTCGGACAATATGATTTGAGCAAAATTCAACATCTAAAAGTGTGATCTCTCAATATTAGTGAGTGAAATTGAAATGAATAAATGTATATGACATAAACACGGTATAATGGGTCGGGCAGACATACGGGTGGTAATGTGCTGCTAAGATCACCAGAACACAGCCCTCATATTGGGTTGGTTCACATGCAGGGATGAAGTGCTGGGAAGGCATGCGTGCTAAAAAAATCAAAACATCTGTGCACATTCAAAAGTGCACGACTTCATACGCAGAAATGCAAGACTGCCAAAGCGATCCCTGTGCTCACTAGATCCACAACTGCTGCCCATTGGGAGAAAACAATGGTGCCTCTGTTCCAAAACCAACATCAGAATGATCGTGCAAAGACTCGCACCTGTGCGCGGAATGGAGCGGCTGCAGGTTTGGGAACGAAAAGGAAGCGAGGCGGACCTTGTGGTCTTGATAAGACCACAGCCTCCACAAAAACGGAACCGGATGCGTTTAACGCGTCTGCGTGGATGCGCATCCGAGTCAACATCTACAGCAGCAACACTGCCGTGGAAGGGGTTCACCTCACAAGCACGCAGACACGGGCACACACGCCCGTTACGTTACGTTACGTAATAAGGCGGGCAAGTGACATTTAAGGGTTTGCTGGACAAGTGAGGCGCCGGTGCACCGGGCGGCAGGCTGCCATGTTGTCGTCTGACCGCTAACTGCTCAAGACAGCGGGCCAAGCAGCTCTGCCCGCAGCGTGTGACACAAGTTGCTTTGACGCCGTTGTGATGGCACGCAGCGCGGCCCCCCCGGGCCGGTGATTCCGCTCCCTCGCACGGACACCTCCTCGGCTCGACGGAGGTGTTGAAAAAACTGTGATATTACCTGACTGGATTTGGGTTTTCTTTTTGCGCGCCCTGTCATTTTCTTCCTCTTGTCTCACACTCGCGTCTTCTTCTTCTGCGGGTGTAAATCGGCAGCCTCTGCGGCGCCGCCTTAAAGCGCGTCACTGCCCCCCGGAGGCCTGGAAGGGGAACTGCAGCCAACGCGTCGCTGAGCCGTCACATAGATGTTGTATGTTTTCATGTTTACATCCATACTTTGTGAAACACAGACGAGATGTTTTCAACCCTTTACTTTCAAGTAATACTAGATTATCTGCTTTTCAGACACAAATGTGTACCTTACCATTTTGGAGTTTAAATGGTTTAAAAAAAAAAAATTACAAAACGTAAGATTGCCCTGGGACACAGAACTTGGTGTGGAGTGGTTATAACTGATGGCCAATGGGAATCTATTCTAGACTTCATAAATACATAATCTACATTTGTTAAACAAACTTAATACAGCTAAAAGTTGTACACAGGGCTTATTACGCTAATATTAGATTGGCAAAAATCCACCGTTATGTCCTCAAGGTAAAGGCCAGCCAGCAGACTTGTTTTACATGTTCTGGCTCTGCCAAAACTCTCCGCCTTTTGGATTTTTAAAGCTTATAGCGACATATTTGCAGCTTAATTTGACCTGGACCCAATTTTTTAACTCTTTGAATTAATACCAGAGGAATTATCGTGGCTTTTTGAGATGGAAGCAACGGGTCACGCCATCGTTCTCCCACTGGGTCAAAGATGTCCTGTATTTCTTGACACTTGAGTCCCAAACCTTTAGTGAAGTATGGAGACGTATGGAGACGTTTTCTAGACTACTATTACCCCTTACAAGAACCTCTCGAGAAAGACTATTGTGGATCCCAGTGGACAGCCCCCCTCCCATTTTTATTTTATAAGTTAATATTATCATTGTAATTGCTTTGCCTTCAGGGTAAGATTGCGTTCCACGCTGTAGTCATTGTGAGATCACCGCACCCACAGTGTTTTAATGCCTACTCAGCCAAAAGACTCCACAGAAAGACGGTGGATACTGTAATTATATGAAAACCCTTTTTTTCTCTCTCATCCTTCATCCCAAAGAACTTATTGAATCAGTGTTACTTATGTGAGGAGTGGGACTACTGACAGGTCTGATATTGGATATGCTTTCGGCCACTTTGGCAGCATTGTACACTTAAGCAGAGTACTGATGTCAGTCCATATGCAGGCATTTAGTCCACATGTGTCCAAGAGAGGATGGAGTAACAAACAGCTGGGCAAAGTTCCTTTTGTGTCTTCATCCTGTGCATCGTCCCCTATTCCTCCGCCTGCGTCTCCTCCTCTGCGTTTAGATGCGTTCCCACGGTTACACAACAACTATTATTACACTCCTTTCCCGTTGCAGTCTCAGCAAAGTGGATCCAGTTTTCCCGGTTCTTCCTACAGCCTCTCAGCAGTGGGGAGCAGGAGTCAAACAGCCTCGATACCGCCTGAGGGGGACGGAGACAGTGATGGAGTGTAACAGTGGAGGAGAGTTTCCTTACTAACACACACGCACACACACACACACCTTGTAGAGTGGATAGCAGATGTCGTTGATGTATTCCACCTGCATGTATGGCAGTCGAGTGCTTTTCTCCCTGTTCATTATGTCCTGTGGAGAAGAGAGCAGGGCTGTCTTACTGTCACTGGGACACCCGCCGAGGACGTGCGATATTCTTTTTAATCAACCTCAAGTTATGTTCTTTTAGCTGAGACTAAAACCGGCCTGAAGTGCTTTTCAACTGAAAAAAGTCAGCATCCGGGAGGTAAAACAACCACTTTGTGATGAAAGTGATTCTTTTTTTTAACCATACAGAAGTTTACAAAGTATGAAAACATATGTAATAGTTGTCAAATCCCAAAGCTTAATCAATGCATGGATTTTGAGTGTATTTGCTATTTTATTGTTGGGCCTTCTATTAAACCACTTTTAAAACCTTGGATCAATATTTAAATGTAATAAGAAACAAATGACCTACAATGGGTTTGATTTTGAACTCCTTTTTTTCTTTGTCCCCTTGTGCAAAGAACTCCATGGTAACCAGGTTGGCGATCTGTTTCAGGAAGAAGAGTGAGGCGAAGGCTTGTGAGGAGTTCAAAATGACACGGAGATAAAATAAGAACGTATTCAGATGAACAGCAACCCTTTTTTGTTCGGGCCAAGGCTTCGTGATGGCAGAGAGGTCGCTGGCTGTCATCAACATCGACCTGTGGGGCGAATTGAATATCTGCACTTAACAGCTCCACTCCACCACCGATATCAACGTTGGCATTCATGCGATTCCCACCTGAGTAAATCTCGTTTTTTCTCACTCTTCCAGCTCACTCTACTTTTCTTGGTGAGAGAAAAGAACTCCTTCCTTCTCCTAAAAAACGAAAAGCAACAAAGAAGGGTTGATCGGGCGTTAAAAAAGGAGTTTTTACACAATGCTTGGACTACAACTACTGTGTTTGGGCCTACTCCATGTAGACGGCCAGGTCGGTGGCGAGGATTGCCCTTTTGATCATGTGTAGGACAGCTCTGTGGTCTTCAGCAGAGAGACTGCTGAGAATCTGACTCCCCTGGGGGGGGGGGGGACGAGAAAGACAGCGGCAAAGAGAGAGAAGTGAGTGCAGACTGGAATTCAGGCACCAGCAGGAGAAGCAAGGCACTTTGAATAAACGCCACTAACAGCAGTGGTTCCCAAACTGGGCGGGGTGCAGTGGAACTACAGGGGGGGTAAAGGATAAATGAGGATAAAGGTTTAAGACAATGAGGTTTGGGTTTGATGCATAACGGACTCGTAGGTCTAGCAGAAGAAATGAGGAGGTCTTACTGTGTTGTTCAGGATGAAGAGGCACAGGTTGTAGTGGTGCCTTTCCAGAGACGAGTGTCCGTACAGCTGAGCTAAAGGCTGTTGGCTCCTGAGGGGGAGGGAGAGGGAGACGGGCTGCTCTCAAGAACATTGGGGGTGAAAGCACGTTGTGCGTTCATCGTCAAGGGTGCCCAGCAGAACCAATAAGCAATCGCAAGTCAAATTAGGACAAGAACAATGAAATGTCCGACTCAGATTCCCTCCAACGCGGAGAATAATGAAATAAGGGAAGCTACTGGAACCCAGAAGAACCGCAAAGAGTTTAGATTCGCTCGATAGTCAACCCAAAGAAATCCTCCTATGAATAATTCCCCACTATATTCAGACTTGGTGAGCATCAATTTGCCATGGAAACAAATAATGACTACAAAGGAGATTTTTACTCATTGTGGACACAGAAGTTCATCTTTGCCTTCAAATTCAACTCTGTTACGTCCAAACTAGGGCACCACTACAGAGCGAGCAGGAGAATATTAATCAAATAGAAATATACACATAAACCTGCAAAGTAAAACAGAACCAACAAGGAAGGGGGGGGGGGGGTGTAAAGTGCTCACCTTTCTATGTACGAGTTACTGTATCCTCTGTGGTCGAGGTCGTGACTCAGGGTGGCGATCATCAGCGCCAGGATCTCCAGGCGGGAAAAGATGGTCTGAAATGAAGAAAGAGAAGAAGAGATCCAGAGAGTAGGACCATTATGACCACGCTGATCTGCGTGAAAGCATATTTACAGAATGCACATCACAACGGGTGAAATACGGAAAAAGAATCGAGAGGCACAACACGGAACATGAAGATTGGACAAGAAATAATTGCAAGATTTACAACAAAGATCATAAAGCACTCAAACCCAAACTTAAAAACAGGGGATCTGTAGGTGTGACTAAATATACATCCTGAAGACACCAGGCCACGACACATTGACTGATTAACCTCAGAAAACCCTCGCAAATGTGCATGAATGCCTGTCAACCAAACACTACAGTTATAATTATTTATTTATCATTCAAATTCCTTAACCCAGCCTTCGTCAGGGATGTACACCCAGTGAAATATGTCAATGCATTTTTTATTTAAAAAAAAAAAGATTGAATATGTATTAGATTAACTATTTCCAAAAGAGAGAAAGAAACCTTTACTTTCTTATGAAAAACAAACATGACACACGTGCTGCCACTTTGGATTGTACGGACGTTTCCCCTTCGACCGACACGTTGGACGGCGGCGCGCTGACCTGGAGGCGGTCTGTGGCCATGAGCATGGCGAACATGCTCTGGGCGGTGCTCAGTGCGTGGTTCCAGTTGTGATAAGGCACGTTGTTCCTGTAGCCGCGTCTCACAGTCAGGACCCACTGGCAGAGACTCTGGGAGGACGGGGACGTGTACGAGAGGACAGGAACGCGGACGGGTCAGTTGCCACTGGAATGTGCGTTTTGGGTTGGGTTTTTTTTCAAAAGAGAAGCTGCACAAAGCAGAATTATCAGCAGGTCAGTCACCTTGTAATCGATGTTGAAATCCTGCACCAACTTGAGGTCCAGGAACATGCGAACGGTGGCCTGGGAGGTCGTCTCCTCTGGCAGACCGAAATCAGAGAAGTGGAAGTCTAGGAGTCGCAGGGATTCCACAGTAGGAATCGCAGCTTCCTGAAGGCGTAAAACACACACAGCAAAATCTGGGTAAAATGCCAGTGGCATTTTAATTCCAGGTTAACGAAGGGCAAGTGGTGAAAGAGGAGATCAGATGGAGCATAAGGGAATGAGTGAGTGGAAAGCTAACAGTCACCTGCAGGGCCTGGATTTCCTGCTCCGCCGCGGTAATGTGGTAGGCCAGAACCTGTGGGACACAACAGAGAGCGTCTCATCTCATGTGGAGGAGCGACGGGTGAACCTGGCTGCAGGCCCATAGATGGAAGGGAAGTCGGTCACGCCCACCTCCTGCGTGACTTCTATACTGGCCCTCCGCTCCTCGGTGATCTGCACGGCCTGCGCGTACTGCAGCGCCAGGCCGCAGTACACCGCCAGGTCCTCCAGCAGGCGCTGGTCGTACCTGTTAAAGGCTTCCGCCTCATCGGAGTCCCTGCTCCTCTTGTTAGTGAGCTGGCACACCGCTGCGAGACGACCAGGAAAAGACAGCGGTGCGTGAATTACCTCGCTATGAATTACTCTGTGTGTATCCCGGCCTTTTGCAAGAGACTCACCGATGACATTTTCTGACATCTCGTTCCTGACGGGGCAGCAGATGGCGCTGTTCATCGACGCCTCGGAAACGTCCGACATGTTGAGCGTTTTTTTGCACGCCAGAGTTTTTAAAGCATTGGACGGGTCTAAATCTCCAAAGTCCCGCTCCCTGGAAGGTGACATGGAACAAGTTCTGCCGCGTTTGACGACGAAAAGCGGGGCAATGCATTCTCCGTCCTAAGGACTCACGCAACAGGCCGCACCTTCTGTAGATCTGGCAGGTTGATCCGAGCTCCTCGCACTCCAGGTGGATCACTCTGGAGAACTCCGCCTGAAAAGAAAGCCACCAGAGGAGGAGCAAATACTGTTCATCTACAGAAACAAAAGAGCAGGGATATATTTAAAAAAAGGATAATGCACCTGGTCTTCCACAGCTGAGGTTTGCTCGCTGGGGATGAAGATAGTGCAGTACTGAGCATGTGTGAAGGGCATGATGGTGGCGGCCATCTTACTGAGCAGAACCTCAAAGGAAAGGTGCTCCTTCGACAACACCTGTGCCATCTCCACCAAGGCCTGACAGAGACATCCATACTTAGACTCGCCTCGACACACAAACATAACACATAAGAGTAAACGCTACAATAGCGACATAGAGATCTCACATTGTTCCCTAGTTACCTGACTGCGTTTGGCCTCCTGTCTGGAGCTTTCATACAGCTGCACGTTATCCAGGACCATCCCCAACACATCCATGTGATTCAACAGCACCTGATGCATCACGTTCAACTTAACTTGACTGTATTGCTGGCAGACATTTATGAATTGCTTTTTGCATACGTGTTTTCATATGTTAAGAGTTGAAATGGAGAGACATGCATACGCTACATGTGCTGTTCTAGACATTTGCTGCTCTGCAGTAACGGGCCCAAGCGTCCCGTCGCACACCTTTTCATCCACGTGGGTGAAACCGGAAGCAGATCCATCGCAGCCGTTCCTCTTGTTAATCATTAGCACCACACCTACCACCTGTCCAGAAGAGGAAGACGCGTTTTATGTGACACAATCTGTGTTATAATCGCTTCACTAAAGGTTCCACATGCTTTGCCCTAAAAGAAAAATACATTTCATGAATCTTTTAATTCTTTTAAATGTTACCTCTCTGGTGTGGTTCTTGATCGGAACACTCAAAACATTCCTGATCTGTGACGATTCGACCTCATCAAAGTGAAACCCGGGGTCCTGAGGACATGAAACAATGGACAACACTGCAGACCATCACATCGCCCACTTATACTGCAACGCGTTTGTTTGTGGGAAACATGCTCTGTTCGTACCCCGGCGCCCTTACACTTACACACAATTGGTAGAAGAAAAAAAAAATCAAGCCGGGAACACTCGTGATTGGGTTTCCCACCAACCGTGAGCAACTAACCACACCACCCTGCCAGGAGTCGGCTCCAGCCGCTAATCCCATTTGGTGCAGAGGACAAGGTGTGACGGTGTGGGCACCTTTCTGTGAGTCCTTAAGTGAGCGGTGCCGTCTTAGTGCTGGTGTGCGTACGTGCGGGTGTCCGCTGGCGACTGTATAGTTTAGGGAACAAGCGCTCGCTGTTCAGTCAGAGGTTAATCGGTGAGAGAAGCTTCTAAAAGGATTAGGAGCAGATGCGTCATCTGGGATTCCCTCACACGGACCTCCACAAGCCAGCAGACAAACACGTCATTGGTCTGAAAACTAGCTATCAGGAAATGGGCGACTCATGCGGCGTACGTCCTCTTGATGGGATTATGACCCGGGCCCTTGAGCCAATTTGTCCACGTGTAGAAACGTAACAGACGTTTGGGATATTTGTAACTGCTTCAATCAGTAATCTAAATCATCTGCATGCTTTAATTATCCATTTGTGTGATTTTATTGGACACTCCAAACGGCAGGGCCACGACCACCAAGCTGTGAGCCCCAAGGCTTACCTCTGACGCGCCCCTCAGGTTGACGGGTGACCCCGCGGCCAGCACGCGTCCCATGACGCCCTTCACCAGACCCGGGTGCGCGCGGCTGCAGAGGGCGACCACCTCCTCTAAGGTGTTCTTCCCGTCGCAGTCTTTCTTCACCAGAGAGAGGCAGCAGCACTCGGCCGCCAGCAGCTCCCCAGCGTGCAGGGCAGCCCCCCGGCAGAGCTCCGCCACAGAGCCCATCCGACCAAGGCCCCCTCTCAGGAGCTCCGTGGCCCATGGGCAACACTCCCCACGGCCACATGCCGCGTCGCGTTCAGCTGGGGGAGGAGAGTGGGGCAAGTCGGGGGAGCAAATGGGAGAGAGAGGACGGCAGGGGGAAAAGGAGAAGCGGGACGAACGGTGAGAGAGGGGAGAGAGTGGGGAGTGATGGCCCGGTACGTCCGGGCTGAAGGGATCCTCCCACTCGGGGTTGGAGGCGAGGGGCTTGAGCCTGTCCATCAGGGAGGAAATGTTCAAGTGCGGGTCGGCCGGGGGAGAGGAAGATCTGCGTCGAGGAGCCGGCCTGAGCATGTCGGCGTGGTCCGAGCTTCTCCTGGGAATCCTGGGCAGCGGAGACTGGGCCCCACTGACCCTACAGACACACACAGGGCAGATTAGCATTGACTCATGACACTGAGCTACTTAGAATGTTTGCTTGGTTGTTGTTTCATATTTTAGAGCACGTTTTCCATTTTTAAATGATACATTTTACTATTGCACTTTGTTATGGACCCATCACCAAATCCCGCGTTGGCAATACAGCCAGTTTTCTTATTCTGATTCTGATGATGTAATGCTATATCTTACATAAAATATATTATGTAATAAAATGTTTCTAAAGTATTTTTTCTTCTCTATTTACATCAACAAAAAGTTCAGTCCACTGTTTTTATCCCGGTCAGTCGGAAACAGGTGAAATATCTTACGCGGAGGTCCTGCGTAAAAAGTAGTCCCTGGTGAAGTCGGAGTGGTCGTCCAGCCACGCCTCCACCTGGTCGCGCCTCAGGCCGTCTCCGAACCTCCCCTCGCGCGTCTTCGAGCGGGGGCTCCACTGCGGGGAGAAGAACCAGCCCGTCCCGCGGACCGCCGGCGGCTCGCTCACCGTTTCCCCGCGGAAGGACCTCGCGGAGGCCGCCCCGGGCGTCGCTCCGTCGGGCTCCGCGGACTCCCGCGCGTCGGAGTCGAGGCAGGGCATCCCCTCGCTCAAGTAGAGCGAAAAAAGGTCGCTTAGACTCAGTTTACCTGTCCCGCGGATTACCTGTGAGAAAACACACCTGCCACGTGGAGGTCGGCGAGGCGACGTGAGGAGGAGAGCGACGGGGGGCGACTGAGGGAACCGTTGCGTCAACGTAATCCCTCTGACTTTTTATACCTGACCTTAACGCCTGACGTCACAGGTTGGTTCATTAAAGGGAACTGATTTAAACTCCTTTGCATAATTCATGGCCGAACCAGCTTTTCTCCATCATTCATTTAAACTCACTTGTTCTCGCTGTGCTTCTTCTTAAATGACATGGTTTACTTCAACACTATACTGTGTGTCTTAAAATACAACGTGTAGTATGAACTTGTTAGGTAGAGTTATACATGAATAGTTTTGCCGTTATTAAACTTTTGCACAGTGCTGTCAAATGTGGGTGGTAATCCGCCAAACAACTCTCGACACAAATTGTATCAGTGCATTTTAAAAGGTTTTTTTTTTTAAATAACAGGTCCCCCGAAAATCTAAACCCCGGCTTCTAACACCCCAAAAACAACCCAGTGGGACAGAAAGCACTACCCGGTAGAGGAACGGTGTGTGTTGCACTCTTTTGGAGAGGAAGCATTGCTGGGAATATTTCATGGTGAATATTACCAGTCATAAATACCCCTCCGTGTCGACGGGCGCCCCCTGCTGGCCGCTCCCTCCTTCGTCATCTGCAGTGGGCGGATCCCGGGCGGGCGACAGCCGCGTCGTGATTGGCCGCTTCAGGAGGAGGCTGCCATGACACGGTGGATGCTGCGCGGAATCAGTTCCACAGCATCAAGCAGGCGGCCAGACCTCCATCCTCCTTCTCTCTCTCTCTCTCTCTCGCCACCCTTGCTCTCTCCCTTCTCCTCTCCCGTCTCCTCTTCCCTGGACCGTAACACGGAGCCGTGGCGAGGGCCTGCGAGCGCCGTCTGCAGCAGAGGACGCACACTCGACAGCGGCGGGTGGGGGGGAGGAATAGCGGCATCCGGCGGACTGGTAGGTGTGCTGAGGCCTCCTGCAGCACAGGGAAGACATTGTGTTCTCCTCTGATCTCCTTCAAGGACTATCTCTGAGAGGTGTGTGTGTGTGTGTGTGTGTGTGTGTGAGAGCAGGCATCTGGAAAATAGGCAGGATCACCACACCCAGGGAGCATTTACTACCAGTGCCGGAGCTCCACTGGGTGACTGTAGATAGTATGATCCTCTCTATGTGGTCCTTTCAGAAGGGTTTATACTCTCTCTGTTGAGGCTGTGTTCTTTCCTCTACTCCACAGCGGTGGGATTTGGCACGTCTGCACACGTGTGTCTTTGCCAACGAGCGCGTTGGACGTCCCGACAAAGGTCACGCGGTTTGACGTGCCGCGTCCTGTCAGCAGCCGCCCTAACCGCGGCCCTCCTTTTCTTTCCAACATCCTCATCAGCCCTTCCCATCGTCCACCTCCACCGCTCTCCTCCTCTCTGTCCTCTGCCCGCACCCCCCTCCCCCCCCCCCCCGCTCCTCCCTCACCCCCTTTTCCTCCTACTTACGCCTCACCGTAGCCTTCTCCATCTCCACGCCTCCTCTCCTCCGACCGGCTGGTTGTTTCGTTCTCCGGATGGCTCGCTCCAGGCCTCTCCGCTAGGCCCTAGCAGCATGGGCGCAGCCTGGGCGGGGAGAGAGAGCACGGATCGGACCCTTCCCCTCAGGACGGGCGTGCCGGCGGGTCACCCTCCCTCGGCTTCAGATGGGCGAGGACACTGAGAGCCCCAAAATCAACCACACCTTCCTGCGAGACTACGTCACTGAAGGTAGGGCAGGCGGCGTGTCGGTGGTGTCAGATAGCATATTCGTATTCAGCTATTTGTTAGGATACTTTTTATTGACCCGTCGCCTCACCCTTACTTCCTGCAACCATTGTCCTGCTTAATCACGCCACCGTTTCCCCCTCCATCCCCCAGCTGATGTCATCTCTACGGTGGAGTTCAACCACACAGGGGACCTGCTGGCCACGGGGGATAAAGGTGGCCGAGTGGTCATCTTCCAGAGAGAGACTGAGGTTGGTTTAACATGTAAAACTCGATATTTATTGGCAGGATATCCACGAACAAGCATGAATGAATAGTTACTACCTTTACTTTCTGCAATGTTTTTCCCCGCCTGTATCTTTTCTACATGGATGTTCATTCAAAGCTGTGGTTTTCTCCTTGTTTTGACCCTGTCAGTCCAAAGGGGAATTGGAGGAGGTGGGGGAGACGGGGGACTCTGGGGAGTACAATGTCTACAGCACATTCCAGAGCCACGAGCCGGACTTTGACTACCTGAAGAGTCTGGAGATTGAAGAGAAGATCAACAAGATCAGATGGCTGCCACAGCAGAACGCGGCACATTTCCTCCTCTCCACCAATGGTGAGAAACCAGTGACACCCTCTCTACTAAGGACGACGGTAGTAGACCTGTGTGCAGTTGGTTCTGTGAGACATCAACCTTGATTATGCAGGACCTGGTATTGATATCAGCATCGGCGTGACTGACTTTCTCTTCAAATCCACCAAAAGTGCGAATGTATAACTTTGGAATTGGAATTTGGAGCCACACTTGTGGGGACATTGGTTGCACCAACCTGCCTATTGTTAAAAACAACTGTCATAATCATAATCTGTGTCTAGTAAACCTTTTTTGAGTGTTGAAGTGCTCATCTGGATTAGGGATACAGCAATCGGACCTCTTCATTCTTAATGCCGATGACTTTCAGCCAATGCCAAGTACCAATCTAATACTGATTTTCCATTTATTAGCTGTCCATGTCACTAATTGGAAGAGACTGAGATCATTTTGTCATGTGTAACTTTGTCAAAAAATGATAAATACATTTAATTCTAAAGCAGATCGGCCCATGATGCATCTGTTTGAACCAGTACTGGGTCGCAAATCCAACATTTGTACCGGTGCATTTCTAATCTGGATCTCTTGAAAAACTGTCCACGTGAAGAATAAATCATTATCAGGCCTCTTCTCCTCGCTGACTGAGGCGTTTACGTTCAGCTTTCTCTCTGTGACGTCCGAATCTCGCTGCCCCTGACAGATAAGACCATTAAATTGTGGAAGGTGAGTGAGAGAGACAAGAGACCGGAGGGATACAACCTGAAAGATGAGGGGGGGCGGCTCAAGGACAACTCCACCATCACCTCCCTGCAGGTGGGCACACACACACACACACACATGCAAGCCTTCCTATGCTCAGCTTCAGGCTGGCCTGATGTCCGTATGCCCTCATATGCCCCCCGACTCTCTTAACCTCTGATTCTGGGCCTGATCGCCTCTCTGTCTCTGTATCAAAGGTCCCGGTGCTGAAACCCACAGATTTGATGGTAGAGGTTCGTCCCAGGCGAGTGTTCTCCAACGGGCACACCTACCACGTCAACTCCATCTCAGTCAACAGCGACGGGGAGACCTACCTGTCTGCTGACGATCTCCGCATCAACATGTGGCACCTGGGCATCACCGACCGCAGCTTCAGTATCCTTTGGTTCACGGCATGCGCATTTATTCTTTTTCTTTTCATTCCAGCTCGCTCGTAGACAATCGTCCCTGAAGCTCGCTATGGAGCAGATTCAAAAATAAATAAGTTGTAACGGAATGTTTTAATGGAAAAGGTGCTTCGTGGAATATAAATCGTTAGTGTGCGTGATCACTATCAATGATGCAGCAGAAATGTGACATTTTATCAGAACGTTTTTATAGTTAAACCCTTTATATAATCAGTAACAAAGTAACAAAGTGGAAAAGATGGAGCCCTTTCGTACGGATGATAAAAAGTCCGTATTTGACAATTATTTTGTTTTTCAAACCTGAAATGAATGCTGAACATGTTTGACTTAAAAGTATTCTGAACAAGAGCAAAGTGAGTTCTCCGATTGCTAAATGTACGTTAGCGTTTTGATAATTAGAAGCCGAACAAGCACCACAAAGCTTACTGACGTATAACTACTGTTCGCATTCTTGTTTGAATCCACGCTTGATCAATATTCCATGGAAACAGTGCTTTACGTTTGGATTTGTTTCTCACTAAAGCCTTGTGTATTCAGCTCAGGCTCTAGCGTGTCGGATGATTGAAATAGAAGCTGACCTAGAAAATCACAGAGGCATCTATGGAGGAAGAGTTTAAATAATTCACTTTCTTCCGAGCCACACAGGACCTCCACAAATAGCACGGAGTGAGCGTGCACGTTGGGGGTTGGTTGGGATAGCGTTGTTTTGCTGCTGATTATGTACTCAGGTGATGAAAAATGAAACGTCTTGTCTAACACCGGCAAAGCAACGGATGAGGATGTTGGGTGGATGCGTTGGTTTGCCTCCCCTGCAAAGATATCACTAAGCGTATCATAAAGTCTGCTCCCTTTCCGTGCAGACAGCGTGGTTTGTGCACGCCGCCCACAGGGGGGGGTTGAATCCCTAACAGACCTTTTTCTCAGACATTGTGGACATCAAACCAGCCAACATGGAGGATCTGACGGAGGTGATAACGGCGGCGGAGTTCCACCCTCACCACTGCCACCTGTTTGTGTACAGCAGCAGCAAGGGCACCCTGCGCCTGTGCGACATGAGAGCCTCTGCACTCTGTGACCGGCACGCCAAACGTGAGCAGCGGCGTTAAAGAGCGCGTCGGCGTTAACTCGGTTTTGCAACCTAGAGTCGAACACACTAACGTTACTAATCGATCCCTCTGTCGCTGTCCAGTGTTTGAGGAACCCGAGGATCCAGGGAGCCGGTCCTTCTTCTCGGAGATCATTTCCTCGGTGTCCGATGTCAAGTTCAGCCACAGTGGGCGATACCTGCTGACCAGAGACTACCTCACCGCCAAGGTGTGGGACCTGAACATGGACAAGGGTCCAGTGGAGACGTACCAGGTAAGGCGGCACCGTGCTCATTAAAGCTAAGCTAATGTGGCCCTCGTAGTCTTTGTTGTTGTGTTGTTTTGAGAATCAGGACATCCAGACAGATTTTGAAAGCACGCATATTCTTGCATATGCTTTTCTTTGGGACTGGTGGCTCCATTGGACAGCCATGCTTCATTCTCAGTCCACACTCCCTTAAGCGTGCATTCTTCCTGATGCACATTTCACTATATGAAAGTAAATCGTAGCCTTTTCGTCACCTAAAAATGACTATTACACGGCTTCTGGTTCTACTGAACTATTGCCTCGTGTCACTTTTGGCGTGAGAGTACTTTGAGTGGTCAAGAGACTAGTAAAAGCTGCACAAGTCTGCATGCTATTCACCATTTACCTCTGGTTGCAAACAATACAAGAAGGCCGCGGGCGACATGGCACCCGCCAAGATGCCACAGTCCAGGCTTCAAAGCGTCAAACCCACCGAGTGAAATCACAGTTTCTACGTCCACCTGTGTATCCAAAGGCTCTGATGTACCCGTCGTGCTAAGCTTGACCGTGTGCTTGATCCCCAGGTCCATGAATACCTGAGGAGTAAGCTGTGTTCCCTCTATGAAAACGACTGCATCTTTGACAAGTTTGAGTGTGTTTGGAACAGCTCGGACAGGTAAGGCAACAGGGACAGACGGAGCACAGTGGATTTGGAGTTTATTTGAAAGTCAAATCGGCCATCATCCGACATCTAAATCAATCCCAGACGAGCGTTTGCCGTCGTCTAATCAATCGCTTCGCCTCCAGTTTGTGTCGTCTTCCCGCCCCCCTCCCCTCCTCGCCTCTCTGCAAGCCGAGCGTTTTCTTCTCTTTCCCCTCACCCCGTCTCTCTCTCTCTCCTCAGCGTGATCATGACGGGGGCTTACAACAGCTTCTTCCGGATGTTCGACAGGGAGACGGGCCGAGGCGTGACCCTGGAGGCTTGGCGGGAGAGCAGCAAGCCCCGGGCGGTGCTGCGGACCCGGCGCGTGTACAACGGCGGTAAGCGGCGCCGAGGGGACGTGGGCGTCGACAGCCTTGACTTCACCAAAAAGATCCTTCACATGGCCTGGCACCCGTCTGAGAACATCATTGCCATAGCGGCCACCAACAACCTGTACATCTTCCAGGATCGCATCAACCCGGAAACACAGTTACAGTGACAAAGAAAGGAGGAGCGGCACAAGTTTATATCTCGGCGTCGCCGTGAGAAGATTTAGTCGAGGCCCAACATACCGACATCCGTCTGCGCCGATAAAAGATTGGATCAAAGATAAAAATGGCTGTTAATATATTGAAACCCCCACGGAGGATGTGTAATCGTTTGCTTTGCTCGACACCGAGACGAACCGATGCCTCCTGCTCCCACCAGGGTGCGCTCTTCGGTCCCGCCTTTTGAAGATGACGTGATCCACCGTAGAAGAGGTGCGGGGACACCTCTCCAGTGGCAATGACTCGCACATGTTGCACTCCTCACTGGTACCTTTTTGGCATAAAAATGAAAGATAGGTGTTTGGTAGCAAAGGACAAAGCCTGAAAGGTCCAAAAGACTCAGACGCCAGATGGTGCATCTAAATCTAAGAAGTCTTTTTTTTCACTAGTGGTTGAACTCTCCCACAGAGCAGTGCTCCTGGAGATTTCTTCTTTAATTGCCCCGTAATCTCTGCCCTATTTACTTTGCAATAATAGCACCAATGAAAACATGGTGGAGCAGTATTCTTGCTTTAAAACACACACTCTTCTTCTACAGGTAGACACTGTTTTTACTATTTGCTGTAAATATTCTGTATTTTCTCTTTTAAAGTTTTTATTTTGAAAGGCAGAAACCAATTTTGGTTCCAGAGAGCTGAAGGGTTGTGAGAGGGGTGCAGTGCATATCAGAAAGATGGCGTTATATTTCACCTGAAGAATCGATCGTAACAAACTGGGATAGTTATTGCCAGCTGTGGTGAGGGAGGGGGGAGTTTGGCACAAACTCTGTTGATATATATAAGTCATATCCTGGTCTGAACTCCACGTACTGTACTTATGGGGTAAATCATTGAAAATAAGAGGGACAGTGTGTTAAGGTCTCTCATACGTTTAAATTGCGGCTGATTGGTGATCAAGTCAAATACAGAGAAATGTCTCATTTCTGTAAAGCAGCAGTGTTCATCCTGCAATGCATGAGCACATGTTAAAGAAATACGTCACAACCAAGAGATGCCAAGTACAAAAACGAGGCCCCTAATCCAGCCGATGGAGAGAGTCGATGAGTGAGTTTGTGTCGGGTGTATTTGAAGGTCAGAGGTTATCATCGGTGCAAAAGCTCATCATGTACATTGCTGACATGTTTTTATCACTCAAACAAATAGTGAGTTTATCATATCACAGGTTGTAATGTAATTACACTTCATACCTCACTGTGCCACATGTACAGCAGCAGTAAGGTTAATGTTTGTGTTGGGCTGAATTCTGTGACTTGGTCGAGATTTGATTGTTTACAGTGAAGTGCTTTGTTTTCAAGTGGCCTTGGCCCCAATGGGAGAATCGTGTTTTGGATGTGAAACTGGAGGAAGTGGAGTGACGGAGACCGTCGGGTGGATCGACATCAGTTTCACTGAGTAAACCTTAGAAGGGACAGATCAGCTCCCCCTAAAAGAAATGGCTGTTTTATTTAGTTTTGGGGACATCTTTGTAGATCACTGCAAAAGATATCCCCCAAAGTAGTCAAAGCACTCGGAAACATTCAAATCTTCTCTCCATTTGAATGTGTCCACATGGCACGAGGTGACCCAAAATAAGTACACAGCGTTTTCTCTTTCTGGAAATCATTTTATTGTAGATTAACTATGGCCAAAAAAAGAAATAGTTCCTGGATAAAACTGGTCACAACCAGATCTGTATATTATTTTTAGTAACTCGCTCGTGATTTCTAAAAATAAGTTTTCGAAGAGTCGAATTCCAAATAGCCGGTTACATTGATACAGAAATCTCTGCAGACGATACCTCCAAAATTAAAATTATAATTTGGATGAATAGCACTAGAAGTAAGAGGGGATGAACTGTTCCTTTAAGTCCCCAAGAGCAGAAGACAGTTGTTAAAATGTATGTTCCACTCTCTCTCCTCACTTTTCATCACGGTTCACAGACATTTACGTTACAGCCGGTGGGCCGGTGTCTATATGTTGCTTTTTCACCGTTCACCATTGTTGTTGAATGCAGACATAGTTGTTTTCCACAGTGTCCGGCCACGTGTTGCCAGGGCTTAGAGCTCCAATGGCGAGCTCTAGTTTATCGCATCATAACCGCCACCACAGGCCACCAGCGAGGCGATTCATGTTCAGCAGCACAGCAGCATGTTGCCATTATTCAATGCTACTAGCGTGTGTATCTATCATACTTTAAAAAAAAAGACAAATCTAACAATATAAAAAACATAACTCAAATGAGGTGAATGAAAAGAATGTGTATTAATAAAATAATCTGATAAATGAAATATATGTCTTTTTGTGCCTGTGTGTCCATCTTTACTGTGACATCATTTGTTTCAGACCATGAAGCGCAATAAAAATGTCCAAAATGGCGTGTAGTTTGAAAAACGAGCACTTTAATAATCATTGCACGCTCCCATAAACTCCATCACTAAAAAAACAGAAGGCACTCAAATTCATCATTTACCGGTAAGCAAAGAGTTGAATGCTGTTCACATGCATTACTTTGTCTTCACCTCAAGCGATTATCTGCTCCGTCAACACTGCATCTCAGTCAGATGACTGAATTTTAAAATTGTTTTTTAAAGAAGGTTCATTTTCTTAACTCCCCTGAAACATATTCAGTTTTGAATTTACAGTGACTGAAAGCAAAGTTTAAAATCTACATTTAATTTTTTAAACTTGACTAAATGACCACGAACGACATCGGGGCAAAGTGAAGGCACTCTGTTCTGTTCTGTGAAACAAAGCCAAATATTTACACCGCTGCCCCTCTATTTCTACGGAATGGATGCTGCTCATTTTTTGTGGTGGTATGTCTACAGTCGGGGATACCACCAAATAATTACTTTAGGATTTAACGTGCATTCATTTCCTTTTACTTGAGGAATTCAGTAGTGTTTATGCACCTTAAATCTGTAGCTTTTCTCTTAGCGGATTGTGACAATGAGTCCAAAGGGAAAGCTGGTATTTGACCATCTTTTAACTGCTTTCCGAATATTACTAATCTTTGTAAACGCATGCAGTACAAGAAGAGAAATAATGTCCTAGATTTCATCACCTAGCTGAGCTGTCGACAAATAGACATGAGCACATATCTGCAAACCTAAACTCAGAGGGAGTGAAAAAGGTAACAACAAATAAAACACAGAAAATAACCGGCCAACGGGGGGTCGTGTACATCCACCTCGTCTGATGAAACCGCAAGCTTTTAAGACTACGGACTTTTCATTGTGACATATTTTCAATATGGAACATTTTGCAAAAAGCGACCGGTTTGCGGCTATGACATTAGATCCATGACGGCACAAATTGTAAACATTACCATAACTCGCATTAGCTAAATGAACACAAACAAAAGAAACCCGCAGCCACGGCTTCCGAATCCACGAGAGTCGTCAATGCTTCGGCTTCAGATTTTGGCAGACAGGAAGGGAGAGAAGAAAAAATCAAAAGCGAACTTCATGGCTCTCATGGTGGTGCGTCTCCAGTCCCGCTCGATCTTCACCTGCCTGCCTCCAGTCAGAGAGGAAGCGCAGTCCAGACAGTGGATCGCCTTCAGCTCGAAGGCCTGCGCTCTGCCTCCCAGGCGGCCCTCCAGCTTGGTGCTGAACTCCACCATATCGCCGGGGTTTAGGTTCAGCAGGACTTGCCTGAACTCGTGGCTGGCCATCAGGATTACGTCCCTGGTCGCATCCTCCAAACCTCCGTCCCGGAACATCCCCACAGTCACCTCGAAGCGGTGGCTGTCGAAGCGCTTGATGTGGCACGAGTGTTTGGCCAGAGCCTTGATCTGACACATCTCCTCCTCCTCCTGCGTCCGGAGTAGCGCGCGCAGCGTGCCGGTCGCCGGCGCGGATTTGGCCGCCGTTACGTTTGCAGCGGTCGCGTTCTTCGGCTCGCACTTGGGATACGTCTCTCCGTACAGGCAGCGCAGCCAGTCTCCCATGAACACCGGCAGCATGTTGATGACCGACTGTGCCCCGTTGTCCGTCTCGGCCACGCGCACGTGCTTGAAGCGGCCCGCCCAGGTGACTCTGTGTCCGTGCAGGTGGCTGCAGAACAGCTGTGTCTGGGCCATGCCTTTGGTCTCCCAGGCAGGGGGCCCGCACACCTGGCTGTACTGTCTCCACGTCAGGGTGGAGTTGTACACCTTCTGGCCCTCCGCGTGGTACACGTAGATCGAGAAGAACAGGATCACCATGGAGATGCAAAGTAAGATGAGCTTGACGGGGCCGCGCTGCGTCATTGAGCGGAACACATCCAGGATGGACATGCTGAAGCGCGTCCACAGCCGCAGGGTCACGGGGATGGCGCAGACTACCAGGGTCACGATCACCTTCGTCAGCTCCAGCTCAAGGAACCACTTGAAGAGCTGGATCAAGAGCATGGCGGCAAGTCCAAAAGCCAGGATGGGCAGGGCGAACAGGAGCAGGAAATAGGCCACGCAAGTGCGCATCAGACCCACAGCGGAGGAGCACTTGAGGAGCACCACGGAGAACTCGCACCACATGAAGCAAACCAGGTACGGAACCAGGAAGCAGTAAGTCCCCCTGAAGCCGCGCATCCTGGCCATGCTGAGGCGGGAAACCGCCGGGGGAGAAACATGAATATTGATCAACGACAAGCTGGGATGGACTTTGAGTCTGAACTTGTCTTTGAGAAGCTCACCTGAAGAACAGGTAGAAGAGATACACATAGAGCAGGCAGGGGAGGCTGAGCTTGAGCACCACCGACTCCCCCAGTGGCAGAGTGGAGAAGGTGCGGCCCAGGCAGCGGAGCGCCGTCATCCGCTCCGGCAGGAACTGGGTCAGGTAACACAGAGATGATGCAACCTGGCTTAAAAAAAAGAACAACTTTGAGAGAACTGTGTAATTTGACTGTCAGATTTCTGAAAATTCCGAGCCCATCAAAAACCTGACCTCTATGACCATAGCTCGGCATGCGTAGGTCGCGGCGGTGGGGCTGAGGCTCTTGTAGCTGACAGCAGTGAAGAAGATGGCCACGGTGGAGAGCTCAGAGCAGGGGATCCAGCCCTTATCGGCCACCGGGAAGGAGAAGATGACAAAGAAAACGGACAGGATGAAGTAGAGGTACGGCTCCAGGTTGTTCCACCCAAAGTTGGTCTCAGCCTGCTCCACGTCCAGGCCGGGTTCAAAACGGGTCAGCAGAGACGTCAAGGCTCGGAAGTTCTCCCAAGTCTGTGAGGAAGGACATTAGGGGCAAAGGAGGAAAGAAATAGCTGGGAGTTAGAGAATACAATCTTGAACAGCCATTACCCTTTACTGATAGCAATGCCAATTTTGAGAAATAAGTACTTTTAAGATCAGAATCTACTGGCCTCTCAAGGCCTCTGATACACTCAATGATTTTTCAGTTCAATTCCATCCAGTATATTACGTATGGTCCAAAATCACAAATCTGCCCAACATGACGTTAAAATCTGTCCACACATACAGATGTGACTCCGTTTGTGAAAGGATTGATGGGGCAAATGAAAAGCTTCCAGCATGTTCATACACATGTTTTTACATTGAAAAAAGGCAGAAATTGGGCTAAATCGCTGGCGGCTAGCACCTTGCTGCTCTGGAGGACACGCAGCGTGCAGATGATCATCGAGATGAAGGACAGGTAGAAGACGAGCAGGGGGATGACAAACGCAAACAGGTCAACCGTGAGGTTGCTGATGATGAAGAAGAAGATGAGCGCGTTGACGTGCTGCGTGGGGATGATCGTGCTCAGCCACTGGACGCCGGCCCGCGACGCCCAGTCCACCAGGTGCTCCTTCATCTCCACGATGCCGTGCAGTGGGTACTGCAGCACCTGGAGCCAAAAAGGGGAAGAATACTTTAACAAAAAGATTCAACAGCTACTAGTTAAGGACGATCAGACCAAAGAATGATAGGGATTTGATGACCATTAAGCGTGACTTCATGTCCATAGCTTTCTTCATGGCTCCGTTCTGCCTGGTGTCCAGCATCATCCCACTGCGGCCAAAACTCCAAGAACGTTGGAAGGCATTCTTGTACCCCGACGGCACCAGCTCAGCCTCGTGCTTTAAAACACAATGGCGTGCACACACACACACACACAAACACACACATTAACACTGGTTGACAGTGGAAACAGCATCCGCTGCCTTACGATGACGGGTTATGGCTGTCGATGCTGATTGGGGGTCTTTTACCTCCGCGCTGCGGTCGCCAGGTTTGGGACTTTCGGCCCTGGCTGTGACCGGGCCGCCAGCTTGGGGAGCGATACCTTGTGCATACTTTTTAGTCATCTCAACAAAGTCGTCCAGGTCCACCAACTGCGCGGCTGCGAGGACACAATGGAAGCAGTTGTAGAGGAAGACGCACATCCGCGCGCGCCTCTGCCTGTCTACGTACTCACACTCACTGCTGACCATGCTCTCCAGAACTTTCTGGGTCTGACCCGAGGTTGGACCAGGAATCCGGCCTGCGGGGCCCCCTGTTGGTAAGGGACGACTACAACATCAGTGGGATACAAACATTTCCATGAAGGCCATGCAGCATGCAGCGACCTGATCTTCCCGGCCGTGGCAGCTGGGGGGGGGGGACAAAGAGGAGGGGTTACCCTGAAGCCGTCATTATGACAATATGCCACGGCATTCTGAGCAGTCTGTAGTACACAAGGACTGGATTGTAGTTGCGGTAAACAAACTATTGAAATCTGTGATGGTGCACGTGGATCCTACCTTGCACTGCATTGACATTTTCCAGCATCTCAGCCACAGCCACCTTCCTCTTCCTGTCCGGGTTGAGTTTCCAGTACATCATCATGGCAGCTTTGCGCACCGACAGCTCAAACCTACTCTCTGTTGACAACTTGCGCACATCAGCCTCATTCTCCGCGTGATTCCTGGTGGGGGAGAAGACAGACAGGGAATGCTTGAGGACCGGAGCATCCCAAGCACACAAAAACAAGTCTACCGTGTTTTATTCATTGAGGTTTGACCTTTTTTCTGGATCCAGCAGCGCTGCAGTGCACTTGCGGCACCTTTTCTTCCCTGTTTGGCGGCTTTTACCAGCCAGGTAACGGCCAGGCGATCGTTTAGCTCCGCGTCCTTCTCTTTAGCGAGACTCAAATAGTGCTGACCCAGCTTAAAACACAAGAAGAGGGGAGATTCAGTCAGCTTTGTCTATGTACAGTAAGTATTGTCCCCCATTAGTTTGGATAATACTCATCGCACTGGTTTTATAGGGATTATTTCTTCCATTTTATGGAACCCCTCCCCCATCTGAACGACAGATCACTACAATACCGTCAGTCCCCGTCCCTGTGGTGTCTCCGTCACGGCTGACTAAAAGGGGCAGCAGAGGCCCCAGCGGCAGATCAAGTGACTGGTTTCTAATCTTAACTGTCATTTTATACATTTCTTCTCCTGCAGTTATCAGTAAATGTGTCTATTTGTAGGGGGAGGAGATGCGTCTTTATAAGGCTGAGTGGCACTTCTCAGTGTCTTTGTTAGATACAATAAGCTTAGAAAAACATTATCATGCATTTTCCTCAACAGTGATTTGCTGTATATTACTGTACTCTATTTTGATACAGTAGTAGTCAAAAGTTTGGACACATTTTCTCATTTAATTGAATGAGAAAAACCTTTGACTGTATTATCAAATATTACTGGAGCTTTTGATCCATTTCTCAATGCATGAACATACATGCATGTCACATCTTTTTAACATGTTCTTTTAGGGCCCCGTGGTGGTTTGGGTGCTTGGTATTCGCACATACATGACTAATTAGCAAGGGGTAAAAAAGCATAAAAAAACATGCATGGAATTGACCCTTTCAGAGCTGTTTGCCCCCCACTTTACTTCCGTCAGCATCTTTTTAAAAATATTTTCAACAAAGAGCATATAGAGTGTGAAAATGCAATTAATATTCAGCACACTGCTGCAACACACTGTAATAGTGTTGATAACAATACGCAAACTCTGCAGTATTTTGGTGTGTCGTTTTTAAAGCCTGGGATCGTCTTCCAAGCGGCTAAAAATAGAAACATGCCGGCAACCAGACTGAGTCAACCAGCAGGAATGAAAACATGTTCAGAGCCAGTCTGTGGGTAAAAGGAACAGCGCGTAGCATTTACCGCTAAAGATCTATTGGCAGCTCAAATAAAGTGCTTCAATTCAGAAAAATGTCATTTTCTTTTTTCATTTCAACAGTCTCAGACAATTCTAAAGAGTCAATGTAAACCGAGTAGTGTGCTTAGTAGTGCTCGTATGAACGGAAACGAGTCCGTCCATTCTGCATTAAATGCTCTACTTTCGCTGTCCACTTTTCTCCTTTTGGAAAGCGCCATTTGTTCCTCATTTTTCTCACCAGTCCTTTTCTCTCACTTCCTCCCGGTCACTTTTTTTTTCTTTCTTTTTCTTCCTACTATATTTTTATTTGGAATTTGCCGCCATCTCTTGAATGTGTTTGCACTGTTGAGACAATATTAGTTTCAGTTGGTTGCAATCGCCAAGACTGCACCTTTAACTCACCCGGGTCTGGGCCCTGGCGTCGCCGGCGGTGGCCTTCTCCTCTATCTGCTCCAGGGTCAAGTCTTCTTCAGGCTCTTCGTCTGGAGGGAACAGCAGGAGACGTCAATCAGTGAGACAAGAAGCTTTGAATAAATAGATATCATATTACCATCGCCCCAATACTTTATTCAATTGAAATAACAGTGTCATTATTACGCCACCTGACATAGAACTTGAGAATAACAAGAAGTCAGAGGTGGAGAAGCAGTACACATGTATACAACTGTCTGTCCATGCAGATGTCTTGTGATAAGCCCCCATACAGACAACTACCACGTCACATCATCACTTGTCGATTGCAATGAGTTTCAGGAGCGTTACTGTCTCTCAAGTGTCCTTGGAGTGGAGTTCATCTTTAATTTACAAAACAGAATTTTAGTATTGGAAAAACATTATAGTTGAGCTTCAAATAGCACACATGGGACGTGTCTCTTGGGTGGAGACACGTCCCATGTTTGTTGGACCCTTGTGCCAACTACAATCGTTCTTTCTCAACATTTGACAAAGCGTCACTTGCTGTCATTGTCTAATTCAATGTAACCATTGTATTAAAATTAAAACATTATATATACGTTAAGGTAGCAGAAAGCTTCAACCTGGAACGTTTATGTTCAAAATACTCGGTAGAAAGCCCACATTTGTTGTTTATGCACAAAGATTGAGGCATTTTTACATCGCTGAGCTTGAGCGCTCCCACATTCTCTGTGGTATAGAAATCGCACAGCTGATGAAACAAAGAACAACGTAGTGAAGCAATTTGTGTGTGTGTCAGTGTCAGTGATATTTCATTGATTTCTTGTTTTATATATTTTATTTTTTGAGTACTTTGATATATCAAGGCTGATGAGGTGGTTTAATTGAGTATTTGTTTTATTGGCTCACTGAAATGAAAATATATTATTTAAGTCTTGCATGGAGCGACATTCCAAAAACATGGATACGCGTAAAACGGCATTACCTTCCTCTTCATCATCGTCACTGTTCTCGGCTTTCCGAAGTCTTTCTTGTATTATCAGTCGCTTGGCCATGGAGGCAAAGGTGCGTTTCACTGGAGCGGCGGAGGAAGCTGCAGGGGCCTCGGTGGACGCAGTGGAAGGAGAAGCAGGGGGATCTGTCGGAGAGTTACAGGCCAAGCTAGCGGACGTAAAGGAGGCAGATGTGAGCTTTGAAAGGGGGGACATCTGGGGGATTTTAAGGGAAGAGCGACGTGGAGCAGTTAAAAGCAGAGTTTTGCCCAGAGAAGGAGAGGAGGGACCGGGAACGGGTTTAGATGGTACAGCAGGAGTCAAGGGCCGTGCCCCCTTTACAGATGGGGGGCAATCCCTCGGTTTAGCTGTTGTGTGCGAGGGATGAGATGATTCTCTGGCCGGGTCAGGAGGAGCAGCAGGGAGGTTATTGGAGACGAGCGAAGGAGGGCTCTGTATGGGAGGGAGGAGAGAGGGTCCATCCCCAACAGGGCATGACCCCTGGGTGCTGACAGCTGTTGATAAGAAATCCTTCTCCATATTTCCTGGAATCAAAAAAGCACGAGCCTAATTCATTTGTAGGTCATCTTCATACACAGAATGAGTGAAGACACAGCTGGCAATTCGAGGACAATATATCCACTGGATATTTTGCACTTTCTATCTGACACGAGTTTTGAAACAACAACAAAAAAATGTGCAACGTTGCGTGGAAAGCACAGAGGGGCATTAAACCTGGTTTTCACACCACACGCGGATCTAAACGAGCACTTCCCGTCAAGCACATTCTCAACGCTAAACCAAGACGGCACAAAAAAAGAAGCCTTACTTGTGACTAAACGTGCAGACCTCTTCAGCGCACGAATTTAAAAGTTAAGTCCGTCGTCCATTCTCAGCTGCGTGCAGATCCGCTGACCGCGGCCTAAACCACAACACCGCCACTTCACGGCCCCGCCCCCCCAGCTGACGGCCGACGTATCTGATTGGCTCTTCGGCCGGCCCCTCGCTTCTTTAAGACGAGGGACACACGCCACGATGTGGAGAAGTTCAGCGATTACACTTCATAACGAAGATAAACTGTTTTATGGAACAGCTTGATACTTAATATAATAATTACATATGGTGTTCATCAAATCGTCATCGACCCGATGTAAACAACATTTCTACAATATTTCATATTAAATGTTGACTAATCGCATAAACATAAACTGCATCGTTTATTAAACAGTGTAAATGTATCGTGCATTAATTCATGCATTTGAGCATTGATGGTATCAAGCATGCACTAGATATGTTACTTGAGCATGTTTTCTGCCTTTGTCATATACGAAACAGGTGGTCTATAGACACAACGCGAGTGTTTGCACACGAGCACCGCAGTCCAATACGCCATGTGCATTGTTCCTCGGGAGCTGTCCACCTGCGAGAGTGCTGAAGGAGAACCAGCTCCCAGTGCAACGCCCCCTGCAGCTCGTTCACGGAGGGCCCGTTGGAGCCCTCCAGAATAGGGGCAGTCATGTTCCGCCCGGTAGAATGTCTGCTCGCGTTCGCAGATCCTCCCACGAGCGGTTTCAGCCCGGTGGAGATAAAAGGAACCTCCTTTAAGAGCCCCGCGTGTATTTAACTCTGAAAGCACATGCCCATTGAACAGCGTGTCTCTTCTTCCAGATGTGGGTTAAGGATGCATGCTGGTTTGATCCGCCCCCCCCCCTCGTGCTCTCCTTTTTATTTGAGAGCTGATGCTTCGCATGAAAACTAGTTCACTCTCCACTCCACAAACTGGAGCATACATATATTTATTTATATATTGATGCATTCTGAGCTGTTTTTTTTTTTTTTTTTTTTTTTACAGTTCATTGCATCGGCGCGCGCCAAAGGGGCGGGGCTGCGCGTGACCCCATTAAAATAAGCGAGGCTCCCGTCTCCATCGTTTCAGACGTTTGGGGAGGCTAGTCTCCGTCTGCCGTGGATGCCACAATGTCCGACTGCAGGAGGGAGTGGAACCGGGAGGATGAGCTGCCGGTCTACCTGGCGGGTCCGATCGCCACTGGGCCGAACCAGAGGAAATCCTACGGGATGTTCAGCTCCGTGGAGGGGGCGTTCGATAGCAAGACCATAGACTTCGACAACTACGCGGTGGGAAGGAAAGGGAGCCGCACCCCGAGAAGCGGGAGCCGCGAGAGGGTGTTAGACTCCGGGGATCCCGCCGGCAAGACGTCCAGCGAGGGCCGGGAGGGCTCTCTGACCGACTCCCCCGGGGAGGCGGAGGATGTTCGCCCCGGTGTTGTGGTCCGATATCCGTCGGGGATGGAAAGCTCCAACGGGGAGGTAGGAGTGAGGATTTTGCTCCTTGGCCTCCTTTTATATTGCTGATTGGCTTTTTGTTAGAAATTCCAATATTCTTGTCATTATGTAACACGCTTCACGGTTAAGACGTTTTGTACATTACGTTGGTTCTAATAAGTGAAAGAAAGCAATTCAATCTTTATTTTGTTCTAATGTAAATGGTTATTTCAACATCCCCGCGGGAGTTTTTGTTGTGAGACAAAGGCCTCAGTCTGCATAAATTCAAATGTCCCACTTTATGTTGCATTGCAGCGTCCCTATGTTTTATTTTACCTGTAGCTCATAAAACATGAATCGATCTGTCTCCAACGAGGCGCGTGCCAGTCTGTGGTGCTGAACTGGACAGCGCCGGACAGCTCCCCTCGCTTTATTGTTGTTTTTTTGTCTACCTCACGTGAGCAGTTTGCGTGAACGCGTATAGACGTGTGTGTGTGTGTGTGTGTGTGTGTGTGTGTGTGCAGAGCCTTGCTTCCCGCACGCTAAAACACACGCGCGCACACACGCTCGCACGACAGACGTGTGGCATAGGGTGGAGGGGGGGAGGGGGGTGGGGGAGGAGGCAAAAAGTGGGGCGCAGAGTGTCAAGAGTCTTCACAATCCGAGTTTTTTGCCAGAGGGAGTGGGGGTTGGGGGGAGTTGGTACAGTTACCAGGAGGTGAACGACATCCCGCATTTAATGGTAAGAGACCCAGTCAGCTGCAAAGCTCCCGCTCACATGCAGCGAAAAGAGGGATTAAAGCTTTAGTGAGGCGGCAGAGAGCAGAAAGCCCTTTGACAGTTTCTCCTGCATGAAACAGCAGGCTCGAGAGGCAGAGCGGCTGTTCTCTGATTAACTCGGATGCCGTGGAGGTCACCTCACGCGGGAAACTAATGTCTTGCAACAAAGCAACCCTGAAGGTGTGAGGCGCGATGTGTGCAAACATGCATCCTTCTCCAGGCACAAAAAACCATGCGATCTGCAGAAAGCCTCTTCTTCATCACTAAGCATTGCACTTCACACGGGAGATAGAAAGTATAACACCTTATGACTGGACAAGCATCCTTTTTGTGTTGAAGATGATGATAACTCAGCGGCGCCGTCAGCCGCCTTCGCCAGCGGATGATCGCTGGTTACCATGGTGACATACCATCCTCTTAAAGCTGTTGCCATGCAGGCCCCGTCCAGAGGGTGTGGAGGTATAGCGAATATGCTTCTATGCTGAATACAGGATATTTGATTGCATCAAATCAATGTCAAAAAAAGAAAGTACTAATATGATCTGTTGTGAAACCCTCCTCCCCCCGGCCCCTCTTGGCACATCACTTGTGTGGCGGCGTGTTTCCTTCCACCCTCGTCCACCGCTTTACAATGTCACAATACCTCTGTGAGGTGAAGGATTACATAACTGATGCAATACATTAAGATCTAGAACTACTCCCTTACCTCCCTTACCTCCCTCTCTCTCTTCCTCTGCAGAGCGAAAGGCTGCTGATCAAAGGAGGGCGGGTGGTCAACGATGACCAGTCTATTTATGCGGATGTCTACATTGAGGACGGGCTCATCAAGTGCGTATACAGAACGAGCAAAAGTATGCCAAATATTCCCAAACACTGTTACAGTCGATAATGATTTTCTTCCTATTTCCCTCCCTTATGTCCGTCCACTTTCCTCCTTCTGGTCGCTGCATTTCTCCTCCCTTCCCCCCCATCCCTCTGTGTCCCACGTATCTGATCCATGGCAGGCAGGTGGGGGAGAACCTGGTGGTGCCAGCGGGTGTCAAGGTGATCGAGGCCAATGGCCGCATGGTGATACCGGGGGGGATCGACGTAAACACCTGTCTGATGAAGTCCCACCTCGGCACACAACCTGCCGATGACTTCCTCCAGGGCACCAAGGCTGCACTCGCGGGGGGCACCACCATGATCAGTGAGTGTGTGCGGCTGCTGCAGTAAACGCCGCAAAGCCGTACATAATGTCAGTGGCAGTTTTTTTCCATCTCAACCTTTGCCCCTCTCCCACGCCTCTCAGTCGACCACGTGACCCCGGAGCCCGGCCAGAGCCTGCTGGAGGCGTTTGAGCGCTGGCAGGAAGCCGCAGATAAGAAGGCCTGCTGCGACTACTCGCTGCACGTGGACGTCCCCCAGTGGGACGAGACGGTCAAAGAGGAGCTGGAGCTGTTGGTGCAGGACAAAGGTACACCGTCCGTTCCACGGCTCTGCGGGGGTTTTTCCTTTTGGTTCCGCTTTTGTCTTCCTTGTTTCAAAACCAGTTCAACGGGGGGGGGGGGGGAGAATTTGGCGGAGCGTTGAATCCTCTTACAGCCTTTGTTGTCCGCGGATGCTGTCGTGGTGGCGGCGTACAAATTGTGTTTGTAATCTCTTTTAAGTAAAAATTCACTTTGGGACTGCGAAAAAACTAAAGCCAAGCCAGCTGGTTGTATGTCCTCATACCCTCGAACATGAATTTGAGAGTTTCAATGAAGTACGTAACCTTTATTTACTGCATTTCATGATATCATATTTGGGTTATGTGTGTTTTTATGGCGGTAGCTTTACATGGCCTCACCTGACTTTCATCTCTGTGTCCAGGCATCAACTCCTTCCAGGTGTACATGGCTTACAAAGACTTGTACCAGCTGTCAGACTCTCAGGTACGAGTCACAATCACCATAAATCCAGGACTCACTGCTCTCACTGTTAATCCCCCTTTCTCTCGTTTCTCCTCATCCCTCCCTCAGCTGTACGAGGCTTTCTCCTTCCTGAAGCAGCTGGGCGCCGTGGCGTTAGTTCATGCTGAAAACGGGGACGTGATCGCTCAGGTGAGCCTCCTCTCGTTAGGCTAGCTCGAGATGTGACTCGTGACGCAACCAGTCGAGGAACATTCTTCTTGCGTAACTCCCTGGCTGTCGCGGAGAGGGAGGGAGGATTAATGCTGCTGCCTCGGCCGAGTACGACAGGTTCTTCACGTGACAGCATGGCGGGGGACCGTTGTTCCACTAATGATGATGATGATGATGATGATGAAACGGTGATTAAGGCGCTGAGCGAAGGTGCTGATTACAGTGATGGCGGTGATGAAAAGTGGAAGTGGTGGTCCTGGAGATGGTGGTCCCGATTAAGGGGACAATTAAGGCGAGATCCGTAACGCAGGTGGAGATGAATGAGGGTGATGAAGGATGATGGGAGCACTGATGATGACATCCTTGTTAACCAGACTGCAGTGGAAATAGGGAGATGAGTGAAAACCAACCCTGACAAACCAAACAATGAAGTTTAACATGCTTTTTAAAATAGAAAACAGAAAAGGGGAGGTGGGCGTCTGGTTTTCATCCCAGTCCTGCTGCTCCCCAGACAGCTCCGTCAGAAGACAAGAGCAGCCAGCAAAACAGCTCCCACTCAGAGAGCTGGTATGCAAAGGGATCACAAAGCACACTGTTTTCTTTGATAGCCTGAAGGTTTTTCATTTTACAGCCATAAGATGCTGGCAAAGCTGCTAAAACAGCGGGTAAAACAGGATTTCCCAAGAGCTTATAGATGGTCATTTCTGTTTTCAGGAGCAGACAAAGATCCTCAGGATGGGGATCACCGGACCTGAAGGCCACGCGCTGAGTCGTCCTGAAGAGGTGATCCTATTCTAGTACACTCTGGTATCAGTCCATCCATCCAACCAGCCAAGGTCTAAATCTTTATTTACTTCTTGTTCACGCAGCTGGAGGCGGAAGCGGTCTTCCGCGCCATCACTCTTGGTAACCGCGTGAACTGCCCCGTGTACATCACCAAGGTGATGAGCAAGAGCGCAGCCGACACTATCGCCCAGGCCCGCAGGAGAGGTCAGCCCCTTTTTATATCTTCTCGCTCCAGGGGTGTTTCTTTGAACGACTCTCCAGCTTTTTTTTTAAACATCCCGACCTTCACTTTCACGCTACCTGCCCGGTCCAGGTTGTGTGGTTTTTGGCGAGCCAATAACAGCCAGCCTGGTCACTGACGGCTCTCACTACTGGAACAAGAACTGGGCCAAGGCGGCGGCGTATGTGACCTCTCCACCTTTGAGTACAGACCCCACAACCCCAGACCACCTCAACACACTGCTGGCTAGGTATGTCTTCAAGCTTTGTCTTAAACTAGTTTAGCGCAAAGCTCTTTTTTTTTCACGTCACGTAATGATAATTTTTAGACAAAGTAGCCGACAGTAAATTTCAATGTTTCATCACTGGGACAACGTCAAAGTGATGTCTTTTCTGATGACACAAAAATACAAATTTGTCCTCTTACCTGTACATTACTCTATGCTCTGCTGTGCCACTCGTGCTTTTGCTTTCGGGGTGAACTGTCACGTTAATACGGCGTGGGGGCCGATTTAATTTAGCTGCAGCCTGGATGACACCAAAGGATTGCCCTTGATTTACAGTATGTTTGGTATTCATGCCAATAACAGCTGCTATTTAATGCACAACGTCAGAGACAAAGGACAACAGATGGAGAGAAGGTGAGGGGAAGGGCAGACGGAAGGTGTTGGCAGGGACGCATAAAGGATGACATCATCAATTACAAAGTCAAAAAACTTCTTTCAGTATTTCAGGACCAAACCCACCTAACTTACATCACACACACACACACACACACACACACACACACACACACACACACACACACGTTACAAAGAGCCTCTTGCTGTACACTTCTGACTCCTCCCTTCTATATATAGTGCAGGAACTAGAACCCTCCATCCCTTGTTGCCTTGGTTACCAACTGCCTGCCTCCTCATCCTCCACCCAACTCTTCCTCTCGGCTCCTCCGCCCTTTTGTCTACAACTCCTGGCGGGTGTGTGATGTCACAGCGGTGCTGGGTAATGCTGCTGTCTTTTCAGGATCAAAAGCAGCAATATCCAGCACCGCTCAGCCTGTTGTTTCTATATTAAGCGATCGGGGCAATGAGCTCACTAGTAATCAATGGCTTTTTCATATTGCAGTGTATCTTCGTGTACTGAGGGATAAAGGGACTGGTCCTGCCGCTGCATTGCTTCATTCTGACTGGTTCAGCTTGTTGTTGTTTTTCTGCCCCGAGCCACCACATGACTTTAAGTCATATGCTCTATGAGGACACCTGCTGGCGTAATAGCTGAAATGCAGATATTATTTCTTGATCATCCGAGCACAAAGACTGAGGAGTCTGCAGAGAAAAAATCGAACATTCACAACATTCTGTTTCATTCAGCGGGGACCTGCAGGTGGTGGGCAGCGCTCACTGCGCCTACAGCACTTCTCAGAAAGCCATCGGCAGGGAAGACTTCACCCTGATCCCGGAGGGAACCAACGGAGTGGAGGAGAGGATGGCTTTCGTCTGGGACAAGGCCGCGGTGAGCAATTTGGACACATGCATGCGCTAACAGCAGCCGTGGGCGGCGGGTTTGTCTGTCCCTGTAATCATCGGACCTCTTTGCCCCACAGGCAATGGGCAAAATGGACGAGAACCAGTTTGTGGCGGTCACATCTACCAACGCGGCAAAAATCTTCAACCTGTACCCGCGCAAAGGCCGGATAGCGGTGGGCTCGGACGCAGACGTCGTAATCTGGGACCCCGACAGCTCCAAAATCATCAGTGCCAAACTGCAGCAGTCGGTGAGAGAATCAGGAAAACAGAAGATAGATTGTTGGGTATGATATGATGGAGAAACAGGTCAATGAAGCTGAGGGAGCAGGAGAAAAGATATTTCATACGTGAGCCTGTAGAGTTTCAAATAGGATGAAAACCCAAGAGAAAGATCTCACGGGCCGGGGAGAAAATGACAATGTACTTGAAGCGTTGGCTGCATCGAAATAATCCAACACATTGTGAACCTGTGGATACAAAACCACAGGTTATTTAAGATGAAGTTAGGAAAAGCAAGTAAGTAAAGAATTCATCTTTCACGTGGCGGTAACCCAAAATAAAAAATAAAAATCTAATTGATTTGAGTATTTTGAAACGTTGTTGTGGTAAAAGCTTTACCCAGTGTTTACTTTACCCACTAAAAGGCATACAGAATAGTCAGCCACTTCAAAACCTATAGACGTGTACCAAAGTATTCTTCTTTCTTTTTGCATTTTACGTGAACCCAATCTCTTAATTTGCAGCTTTTTAGTGTGTAAATGTGCAATGCGCCACAGCGGACAGCGGTTGATGTATTCAGTCTGCTCTGCCACTCTGAAAGGCCCTAATCCGGGACTGGCTTTAGGTCATAATCCCCCTTCACCCCTCACCCATTCTGCACCCTCTCCCCGCCCATCCCCCTGTGTTCACTGCATTGCTCCCCCTATATGTCCCCCGCTTCTCGTTTATTCATCCGCCATCTTCTCAACTGCTGGATTTCTCCTGCATGCATTAAGCCTCCCGAGGGGGGGGGGTAAAAGAGTTCTCCTTCGTTCATCTGCCTAATCCCCTCATTCTGGGTGTTGTGGTTGTGTGTCTTATCGCCATCCGCGCAGGCTTCAGAATACAACATCTTTGAGGGTGTGGAGTGCCGCGGGGGTCCGGCGCTGGTGTTGAGTCAAGGTCGCGTGGTTTACGAGGAAGGCCAGCTGCAGGCCCAGCAGGGTGCCGGCCGATTTATCCCCCGCAAGCACTTCCCTGACTACGCCTACCAGCGCATCAAAATTAGGGACCAGGTACAGTGCACGTTCATGTTGCGACGTTTCATTTGCCTTAAAGGATTAGATGTGCAGTCAACATCCATTTCCTCACAGGTGCACAATTGCTTTATTATTATTCAAAGCATTACTGACTAATTGTCGCTTTAACAGGAAACAGTTACGGTGCATTTTCTTATTTAACAGCTTTCTCTATTTGTCATGAAATATCTCCTGAAAGTTACCACTGCCTCATTTGTTAACATACCATTTTAGTAAATTGTAACGCAAAACATCATTTATTTTACCCTATCCCGCTGAAGTATCTTCAAAATGTGTCTCACGATGCACGTCTGCAAAGGCCTCCACTTACACACACAAATACACATTTAATTCCATTCCATCTACATGATGAGGGGTTTTACTGAGGGCATCATTAATATTGATTTCATTTAATTAATGATTCATTGTTAATTAATTTGGGCCATGGAGGGTATTTCCTGATTGATGTAGTGATCCAAACAGATATCCAAAAGTATTTGCCCACAAAATGAAACAAGGACATGCATTTTGCAGTTTTTGCACATTTAAACATTTTCAACAGATTACCTCAAAGTAAATAACTAAATGGGGCAGATTCATGGATTCAATGCTTATGAGATGAGTGTTTTACCCCGTTCACCTGGAGTGTCTCCCATTTCTATGCTTTGTTTTTTCGTGCATTCTTATATAGTTTAATAACTCCATACATCACACTTTGTGAGGCTTTGGACAACACAGTATCGGATTTATTTACGTTCCTGTATTAAAAGAAAAACCTTCTAAAAGCAAGAGTTTCATTTGCTGACATTTATAAATATTGGACAACTAACAAAAGCGGACAAGCGTCACTTTCGGTTTTGCATTGTTATTGCAGGAGAACTGAGGCTAAAATGTTGTTGGTCAGACTGAAGCTTAACTGTGTGTGTCTGTGCGTGTGCGTGTGTGTGTGTGTGTGTGTTCTCTACCCAGGCAAAGAGCAAGCAGGGCGTAACCCGCGGCATGTACGACGGCCCTGTGCACGATGTCTTTGCTACCCCCAAATACGTCACCCCTTCTCCATCAGCCAAAACCTCCCCCACCTCTCACCAACCACCACCCATACGCAATCTCCACCAGTCCAACTTCAGCCTATCAGGTAACAGGAATCCCTCCCTTTGCTTTGAAAAATCTAATCCGGTGACTCCTTTTTAATGTGTGAAGTGGAGCATGAGTGTATTCAGCGTGACCACATGCAACATGTTGACACGTTAAATGAAATATATTTACGGTAAAGCATTTTCATTTGTGTGTCCGTGTCCCAGGAGCGCAGGCCGATGACTTCGTCCCTCGTCGCTCTGGCCACCGTATCGTAGCCCCCCCCGGCGGTCGCTCCAACATCACCAACCTTGGCTGAACACTCGACTATGCACTAAGTTTGTGTGTGTGTGTGTGTGTGTGTGTGTGAGAGAGAGAGTTTCGGTTTTGCCCTGAGACGTGGTCCCAGAGGAGAAGCACACCAATGCTCCTGAACCAAGAGTACGATATTAAGTCATGATCAGCGTACTCTCTCACACACACACACACACACACACACACGCACGCACACACTCACACACACACGCATCTGGTGTCGGACCGCACGCCCCTCCCGCGCAAACGTGCACCCAGCGCTATGTCCATGATGTTGTTTATCACCCACTCACCCCTCTCCCTGCTGTCCCAGGGCGTCCCACGTCCGACGCGGTGATCCTCTCCACAGCCGAGGCGGTTTACCATATTTGCTTTTTAATCGCCGCACATATTTGCATGGACACGTCTTTTTAAATGTCGCACCGCTTGGCGGTTAGATCGTTGCAAAGGAGGAATCACTGGAGGACAGACACGGGGACATTCCCTGCGGACGGATTCACCCAGGCACAACCAGCAGCCTCATCCTTTCTAATGTTACTGTGAGTTTCGGTAAACGCAAGGAAACCTCCTCAGATACCTTATGCAAGCGTGTCGGTACGCTCCCGTAAAGCATGACAGCAGACGAGCAGCTGGGACCAACACCCCAAACAGACACACACTGCTAAGTCCATTTCCAGGTAGTTTTGCTGTAAAGACGTCTGATCGTTTTCTGCCACTCATCACTCATGATCTCACTCAACTCGCTGCTGTAAAAGGGCATCAGCTCCATGTACCCCCCCCCCACCCCGCCGCTCTGTAACACTTCACTGACAATCAGTTTTTCATCTTTATCTCATTGATTCTGGATGTTTTCTTTGTACCTTTTAGTGTTTCTGCGCCGCTCGGTTTTGTTGCTGTTGTCTGGTGTCTCCAATGGATCCACTAATAATGATCAATAAAGACTTGACGGTTGTCAAGGTGACGGTAAAAGAAACATTCCTGGGAGTTTGATATTGCCTTTGCACGAGATGTATTACCTGTGTCACAGATTGGTTTTGGATTGAATCTCCCCAATAAATTCTGTCAGGTTGAGTTTGCAAAGTCTTCAGTTCGGACAAATATGCGTTCAACACACAGCCGCCAAGTCAGATGTAGTCACTGGATCCAAACCAATACTTCAGATGAATGTAGGCGATTCTACTCCAGCATGTAACCTGTGTTGCATTCATCTCGTGGTAAAACATGTTAAAAATCAAATTTGCATCCTGGAAAAAGACACATTTATCTTATTTATCTAACTGTTTTCTTATGGTCGATGTGTCTTTAGGTCATTTTTGGGGTCATTTCAGGGTAAACATTTTGTGTTAGAAGTAAGCAGGTTGACGCAGATGCAGATATGTCAACTAACACAAAAGAATCAACAACCGAGAACCAAGAACACGATGCAGAAACAGTAGGAAGAAAAGAAGACGATGAGAAGACGAGGAGAAGACGAGGAGAAGACGATGAGAAGACGATGAGAAGACGAGGAGAAGACGATGAGAAGACGAGGAACGGCGATCAGCTTCAACAGGGACTCGCCCCCCCAAAAAACTAACAAACTAAACTCAACTAAAACATCTTAAAGACGAGACAAGTGTGTATGACTGACGTGTGACGTCCCGGTGAGCTCACCCAGGTCTCAGGGCAGACAAAGTTTTGGCCACATGGCTCTGCAGAGATAATGTGAACCACCACAATCAGGATGGAACGTCAGCTGTGATAAGATTAGAAAATCTTCGTGGCAATCACTTTGGGGATGTGGGAGCCGGGGTGCTAATTGTTAGATTGGATAAATGCAATAACAATTAAACTGATGTTCCCGACGACTAAAGTGGTCTTCAAATAATCAGCTCCGTCTCGACGTGGTGAAATGAGATTAATCCTGTTTCCTCGTTTCAGAAATGAATTCTGACAATTTGAATTGAAAATGCTTGAGTGGAATTCCTCCGTGTCGGTCGCTGAGGCCCGGAGAGGCACTGCGTGATTTATTAAGGTGGATACGTTCAATGACATGAACGCTGTGGCCATGTGGAGTCAATACGAAGCTCAGGTTGGAAACGTGTCATTTTAAGGGCAGCGTGACACTTCATTGCATTAACTTGAACTTTTTGAAGGCAAATGGGGGGGGTAGGCACTGCCCCCCCCATTTGCTCTAAAATGTAAAGTGCTTCTGAAGTTTTAATTGTATTATTTCTGCCAGTGACAGCAGCAGACTTTCCAATCGGGCTTATAGAAGCATTGGTGATTAGCATAATGTCATTTCCGTTATCAACTAGCAACTGGCAGACTATTAAAAGTGATGATAGCGTCATAAAAGGTCAGTTAGAGCCTGGTGAAATATTTAGTTAATGAAAACATCCCAAGCAGCACACGTGGAGATATTTCCACATCTGCACTGAAGAGCAAAATACAGGAATTAAGTAAATCACTAAAGCTAAATAGGAGGATTGCTTTACTCACACGGGACTGGAAACATCACGTCGTCGGTGGGGGGGGTTGAGCGGTCTGAACCGAGAGCTGAGCCCCCCTCTAATGTTCCGCCCAAGACACGATATCTTCAGGCATGACATCACTTTCACTTGTTCTCTATGAAGATTCCACTGGCGAATGACAACAACTACATAAGAAGATGATATGAGGGATGTTCAAGCCCCGTTATCTACCACAGGTTCGACGTCCATCTCGAATGCTGCACGGTGACGACATCTTTGTTCCCAGAGGAACCTTTCCCTTTTTGTTCATGGTTTTCCTGACAATAACTAATTTACCTCGCTTCAGTGTCACGTTTCATCTGGCAGAGACTGGCAGCACTTTGCTTGGCTTTTCTCAAAGGAGGACTCGCTGGCTGAGTTGGTTCAGCACGGCGCGTTTCCTTTTAAACCGATGCGTGAAGCATCTCACCGAGATGCTCTCTCTTTCATGAATGTGTCAAACTAAGATCTCCACTGTTTTTATGTCCAAGAAGAGTCAGGAAAATGTGCGCGGGTAAATAAATGAGTCATTTCCATCCCACCTTTGATGTTTTGTGCGTTGCACGATGTCCCCCGGCCTCTGGCGAGTCTCTCACTCTGCGTGATCATGAATAATGTAAAGATCTGTCTGTCTGTGTCCCACATCTGAAATCTAACAGGATTTGAAACAGAGTTGTGTTCAGCAGATCGGGGAGTTCTGTAAACATGTAAAAACGGTAAAAGGTGCAGGCGGCCGCTTGACGTTTCTGCAGCCGTGTGATCTTCCCCCGTCGACTGGCTGTTACTCATGAAATGCAGGCTCCAATCTCCCTTCATCTCCAGATGAACTGGTTCCAGATCACCTTCACAGAGACCAAACGGAAACCTGCATTCTGCCACCGCCATCTGCTCCTGGAGCAAACCAAAGGGATGCAATATTGAGCTCGTGAGCCTGAAACGATGCCACTTTCCATTTGCTTTCCCCTCGCCAGTCACACGGAAATGGAAAACAGAGCATGTTTGTGTAAACGCTACACAATGTGGACAGGTGCCACAGCCGAGTCTCCCTCCAAAGGAGCGAGCCGATGTCTGTGAGTTAAGTGAGGGAAATGGTGTGCCAGGTGCGCAGAAGGTCCCTCGGGGGTCACCGCTGCGCTTATCTGACTCGCGTCCACCACAATAAACAGAAAACGGGTTTCATTTCTCTTCTGGCTGCAGCTGCACTGGGAGGAAGGTCCCAATACAAACCAAGAAGAGGGGTGGCAGGGAATGTGATCATGTTTAAGTGACAGCTATGGTTTGTTTGGGCGCTGAACTGCGATGTCTAACGTTTAATTTCCTGAATATATTATATTATATTCCTGAAACAACAATCAGTTGCACTGCGGATGACGGGTGTCTGCTGAGGTCGGAAGGAGCGTTTTTTTATTTCTATCGCCAGAGGCAAATTTTACCCAGAAGCAAACAATCGCACTTGGTAGCAAAAATCCCTGTTTACCTGAGCCAGTCCAAGTTACACAACGATAGCCGTGAGCCGGTTAATACCGACCCACAAATCCCTGCTGTCACAACAGCAGCGTGAAGCAATCGCTTATCCACACAGGAGCCCAAAACGCCATCAATTAGCCAACACACAACAGCACGACCGTCTCCGTGCACTCGTTGAGCAGCAGCTCGGGAGGACAGCCACACGGGGGTATTTGTCTCTGGGCTTTCAGAAGGCCTCAGGCTCTTAACTAGCTGTCAATCAGCAGATGAGATTCACCTCTGCAATCACTCGAAATGTTGCATGGAACAAGAATCATTATATCAAATGGATTTTTCTGCTCTTTGTTCACTTTTAAACCCCTTTGAATGAGAAGACATTTCGTTTATGTCCTCTGCCAAAATGAACCGGATTCAACACATCGTAATAAGATTTAGTCGATGTTGAGTTTTCAACCGACATCTGCCAAGTAAGTAATTATGGGTGTAAAAAGCATCTTAAAGGAGGACCGATCCACATCACATCACGTATCTCCTGCCCAGCTTTGATGAGTGGGATCCGATGTGCCCATGAAAAGATGAAGACACATAAACGAGGAGCGCAGGCAAGAGTCAAAATCAAGAGAACGTTTCCAGCTCTGCTGCCGGTCTTCCCTTCAACAGCGACACCACTCATCACCTCTGAGGCTTTACGCTCAGCCGTACTGATGCTGCCGAACGTCAGAAAACATTTCAACGTATCGCACGATTATATCTTGCTGCTCTTTCTCCTTGTCTGCGTGTAAAGGCAATTCAGCTCCATTTTTCACTCGGAAAAAAGGACTTTGCTTAAACCCCCGACAGCATCTGACAACTCCACAGACCATTTGATACCCTGGACAGTGTGCGAGGAGGTTGACATTCTGCAGTTTACCTCTCCGGGCGCCTCCCTCACAACAGTTTCCTCTTTATCTTCATGAAATCCATAAAAAGCAAGTCAACTGGATCTTTCCCCAGGATTTGATAAAGAGTTCAAAGTAACCGAAATCCATTTTTTCTGCAGTGCAGACAACTCCTTGTCCATTTATCTGGTGAAACAGCGTGATTTATTTACAAGGCCTTTCACGGTTTGCACTTAAAAGAGAAGATTTCTGACTAGAGGTTGATTGATACGATACCTGATGCTTTTGATGCCGCAAAAGGTTGCTAATACCTTTTACTGTGTGGTTTAATGATTTGTCTTTTATGTGCGTTTTG